TTCAACGTTTTTTCTTGATAGCAGCATTAACACGGACTGTCATCTCACTGTATACCTTTTTGTCGAGGGTTTTATCATTTTCCAGATACTCTTTATGGATAATATCATGGCAATCCCACCAGATACAAAGCATGATCTTTTTATTAGTCAAATTACGCTTTGGGATGCTGCTTACAGGCTCGCAAGGCACAGAGTAACTCTCTTTTCGATCTGTGTTGTTGAGGTAAATCCACGTTTCATCACAAGTGACGATCCGGTCCAGAATTTTGTCCTTGCGTTGATATTTGAGCAGATTGGTGCAGGCCTGAACATGTCTATCCTTAGCTGCTTTAGTCAGCTCATGTGGCACCCCGCGATTAAACTTGTATGTCAAATTTATGCGATGCATAGTGTGACTAATGGACATGGCACTAACGTTTAACTCCTTAGCAAGCTCTCGAGTGGTTGCATACTGATCTTCTTCCACAAGATTTTACAGGCAGGCCTTATCAACATCAGTAGGCCGACCAGACCACTGTGCTTTTTGAATGTCATAGTCCTTGCTTTTGAACTTTCGACACCAAGGCTTCACAGTGTCATATGATACAACATTAGTATGTGGATTTGATGAGTAAACGAAATCGAAACTGATCAGCCAGAGCATTTCATAAATGAAATAAATGTTTATTTTGGTCTTAAAAGATATAGTATATTTATTTTTACAATTTCCAGTCTTGTTTGCAACATGTTACTTATTTTTTACATAAAAATATAACAAACTTTTAAGAAATAAATCTTACGCAATGCTTATCAAGGAACACTCCAAGTAACAACGTTTTTTTGCTTGACTCGATGTTGCCGAACGGCGAATCTTAATAACTATTCAAAACATTACATCATGTTGCCACTTAGGAAATCTTAATAATTATATAGAAACATTAAATTATGTTCCACTACATTACTCCTCCTCCAATAACTATGTTACGATTTAAGAGATTCTGGTAGTGGAGTAATGCAGTGTAAGCTTACATTAGAATTAAAAATGCTAAATACAATAAATAAATACAATTACAATTAATCATATTCAATAATAGCGGTTAGGAAAAATATTCAACATTGTTACTAAAACGTAAAGGATGTTTTATGAGTCGTCCAGTTCGTGAGACTCGAGGTCGTTCATTATTGGTCTCAGATTTTAACAAAGTTTGAGTCTTGGGTTGGGTGTCAGAAGTTTCTGGTTCCAGCCTTTGCTCACCTGATATTAAACAATAGGCTGGCTTCAGCCTGTCAATCGAAATGTTTACTTCCTTACCTTTGATTTGTAACAAGAAGTCTTTTTCCATTCTTTTAAGTACTTCTGAAAGGATCCTTTCATAATCTAGGTTCTAATGGTTTCTTAACTCTATCAGTACTTATTAGGAAAACATGATGGTACACACATTCAGATCTTTATGGACAAAAACTTTAGGAAACATTTTTCGCTGTACCATAGAGGGCTTGAACAATTCCATTCGTTTTTGCAATTTATGCAAAAATGTTTGAGGTGTTGTAGAAACTGTCGGCTTATCAAAAAATTCTCCAGGAAGTTTGATTGTTTTCCCGTAAACCGTTTGTGCAATGGAATATCCAGAGTCTTCTTTTAAGGCTGCACTAAGACCTAGAAGAAATGAATGGATTCAGACCACTTAATGGAATTATGACATTTGATAGCAGCTTTCAAAGTTCGATGAAATCTCTCAATTTTGCCGTTACACTGTGGATGATAGGAAGCTGTGTGTTGAATTTTGACTCCACATATAATTTCAAGGTTTGAAATAGTTCAGAAGTAAACTGTGCTCCACGATCCGTAATAACTTGGTAAGGAACTCCAAAGCGAGTGATCCAATGTTCATAAAAAGCTCTGGCAATGGTTTCTGCTGTTATGTCATGCAAAGGAATGGCTTCCATCCAACCAGTATAGCGATCAATGCAATTCAAGCAGTATACAAAATTATCAGATGGTGATAAGAACCTATTAAGTCAATGTGAACTATAGTAAAACGTTCATCAGGCTGCTGATAAGTTCCTAATTCAGACTTTGTATGACGTGAAACCTTATTTTTTTGATAACCAATACAGGCACGACTCCATGTTTGTATATCCTTTTTGATATTTGGCCAAATAAATTTGGACCTCATTTCTTTACGGTCGACTTGATTCCTGGATGAGCGAGGCCTTGGATTTGTTGAAATATATCCATTCTAAACTGCTTGGGTATAAATGGTCTAATATTTTTTATGTCTGTAATAATTCAAAGTAATCTTTTTTGTGTAATTCTTAAGCAAGTTTCTCTGTTTATAATGTTCCCCTTTTATACATCTTGGCATTTTCTTTAAAGTTTTGATAAAACATACATATTTTGCATTTCTTTCCTGATGTCTTTAAAAATTGTGCATAATACATAGTAATAAATTATGTGTATAACTCAAACAGAAATATACTTTTTGAATGTGCTACCTAGATAATAATTAAGAAAAGATATTATGTAAAGCAGCTTGAACTTTAACAAATAATATGTGTTGTAATCAATTTTTAAATTAAACAGGTTTTTTTTTAATGAATGGAAAAGAAAATTTATATATCTATATACATAGGTTGATTCAAAAAAAAAAGTTTACAAGCAGAAGCATTTGAAACGTAATAATTGTGGAGCGAATATTTTCACCCAGGGTGGTTGACAGATCGCGCTAGTTGTCCTACAGCAGTTCTACGAGTAAGTAGCGTTAGTACGCAGACACTTAAGAGCGACAATAATGGCACGACGTCTAGAAAAGTGGTCTCACATAGAGGTGCGAGTCGTAATTCGATTCTTATGGGCCAAGAATGTGGCCGCATCCGAAATTCACAGACAAATCGTTGAGGTATATGGGGACAAAGCAATTAGTAGACAACAGGTAGCGAAATAGTGTCATTCTTATCAAGCAGGCAGGGAGCATGTGGAAAACTGCAATATGAAAGCGAGCGGCCATCCAAGTTCTTCCAGGACGGATATCAACACGGCACGTGTTGAAGAAATCATCCAAAGGGATTGATGAGTACCCGTGTGTGAGATTGCCTCAGAGTTGGACCTGAGTTATGGTAACGTTCAGCGTATTGTAACCGATGAGTGATATTCCAAAGTTTGTGCCCACTGGATTCCACATGCGTTGTCCGCGGAGCATAAGGCCACTCGAATGATGTGCAGCCTCACATTTCTTCAGCGACACCGTTCAGACGGCCAACACTTCATTGATCGCATCATTACCGGTGATGAAACATGGCTTCATCACTTCACCCCCACATCCAAAAGGTGGAGTGGAAACACGCTGGATCACTGACGAAGAAGAAGTTTAAGGTCACACCCTCTGCCGGTAAAGTGATGGCAACCGTTTTCCGGGATACGACTGGTGTTATCCTAATCGAGTATTTGGAGCATGGCCATACCATTAAGGCCGATCGTTATTGTGCCACCTTAACGAAATTGCGTAAAGCCATCCGACACAAACGGCCTGGATTACTGAGCAAAGGCATCATTCTTCTGCATGACAATGCCAGGCCCCATACAGCTCGCCAGACTCGGGAATTGCTGCAAAGGTTCACATGGGAGGTCTGGAATCACCCCCCATACAGCCTCGCTTGGGCTCCAGGTGACTATTTCATTTTTCCGGCGTTGAAGCGATACTTATCCGGAACACGGTTCACCTCAGACGATGCAGTGAAAACAGTTGCTGAGAAATGGCTTCAATAAGCAGGGCTCTGATTACTACCAAGACGGGATAAACAAGTTGGTCGAATGTTCTGACTAATGCCTAAACAAGGTTTGGCGACTATGTGGAAAAGTGAAGGCCAGATGTGTCTCTTGATTCCCATTTGTATCTTGTTTCTATTGTTAATAAATACTTTTTCATTTGCCTTGTAAACCTTTTTTTGGATCACCCTTCATATATTTTTTTTGTGACTTATCCTACCCGATCGACAGTAACATCAGATTAGGTCTCTGAGATCAAAGCAAAGCCCATAAAAGATAAGGGGTCAAGATTGCACCAAGCCTTGAGCATCATACAGGTCATGAATGGTTGAGCAATGTGTAATGTATGTAGTGCCAAGGCTTTGTGAGGTTCTGTGATGTTATATTATTTTATGTATGCTCATATATATATTTTATTTATGTATGATATCAGTATGACTTTGCTCATTTCCATCCCCAATTTGGAAGGAGACCACCCTGGGGTTCAGTTGTCACTCTTTCCTCTTCTTTTACCACCAACCTCTTAATGAGTAATGCTCACCAAGAGGTCTGTAATGCTCTCCACATATTTAGAGCGACCTATGCCACACAGATACTATACATTTACAAACATCCATACCTTCTCCAGGATTTGAACCCAGACCCTTTGGTATGATAGTCAGAGTCACTAGCCTCTATCCCAGTTGGGCAGCACATCGATGTGCAGGAAGACAGTTTACATCCATGTCTTCTGCGAGATTCGATTTCAGGCCCTTCAGTACAGCAGTCAGCATTGCTAACCAATATCCCAGTTGTGTGGCAAATTTATATATTTTAAGTGCTTATGACACTTTGTTGTTTTGCATATATTTATCTACTGCATATCATTGATTTTTTATCAGTCCTGGGCAGAATATATTAGACTGTACTATTTTTACGACTGGAAGACTTTGAGTTTAAAGTTAAGGATAACACACCTGTCTGTCAGTGGCATTATTAATAAAAAAGCAACAGTGAAGCTTGGTTTTCTGTATTTCAAAACTATGTAGTTTAAAATTAGTAATAAAATTAGTAATATTAAAGTTGTAGATCATAAAATATTATTTCTGATGATTTGATGCTTTGGTGTATAAAATATGTTTTATAGGTGTAAATAAGTACATAAAAATTATTTTTTATATACTTATTTACTTATAGGTGTAAATAAATAAATATATTTTTTATATACCTAAAAGTTATTTTTTAATATATGAAATCCTATATTTTTGTGTATTAGAGAGTGTCGTCTGTCCCAAAAGTTCCAATATGGCTAAACAAACTGTGCAACCAAATGTTTACCGATTTGCTTCTTCAAAAGAATGGTGTCGCAACATTTGTACTAGCTTTTCTCACTGAAGTCCATGGTATGTATGCTTTTAATATCCAAATGATGTATTTTTTATTTTTCATTTATGCATTTTAAGAATACTTGTTATCATTTACTATATTTTGGGGCACTTTCCAATTATCTGCATATCCAATGAAAAGCTATGAAAAATTATTGATGAGGCTATTGCACTGTGTTAGAGAAATGTTTATGTGGGAGGCTGTAATGCTCTTATAAAGTATTCATGGTCCAAAGCAAGTGTGGGTGTACACTTGCTTTGGACTTTGGTGTTTTCCCTTTTAGTTTTTTTCTTTTGTTGTTATTTCTCTTTAAAATTGGATTTTTTGAAATTTGCAATAGCACTTGTGATACAAAATGTTGATGTTTACACCAGAACAGCTAGATCAAGAGCATGGTGATTTAATGTCTGCTGTCAAATCTGTGTCCTCAAATTTCTTTGTAATCTTCAAACTGTTGTTTCATTGGGTGCACTTTCATGCTAAGAGGTTGCATGAAGCTTTGTAACAGTCTGCATAACACTCGTCATTCTTGCAATGAATTTTCTTAATCAAAACTGTCTGTTCTTCTGTGTAGCACTCCATATTGACTAAGATGCATCAAAATTGCAAAATGAACTGACACTGACAAAATGCCAGTGTTACCAGGTCAAATCAAAGATGATATTTTCTTAAATTGGAACATTTACCTATTGCAAGTATGTAAAATTTTTTTCTATTTTCTAAGAATGAAGTATTCTTTCTAACATATTAAATGTGGTGGTTTTGCTGGGATACCATGTACTACAGCAAATTGCTGCTGTTTTTAAATTATCATGTTATAAACTTTACATTTCTGAATACAGTAAAAACCTGACTATACAGAATTAAACTAAAAATCTCTAACTGAAATATTTTAAGACTTTTAGAAACTCTCTCCCACTTAAAAATTAAGCAAATGAGAAGCTGTAAGCAGTTACGAAGCATATGTGAGACACTGTCGTCCGACTATAAATTTTAATGCCAGTAATGGATAAGTGTGATGGCAGAACACATTCATAGGATCTTTGCTTTGATTTTATTATAAACTTGATTAATTCTTGATAAGCTGACTTATTTTTTGTAAAAAAGGATTATGAGACTATACTGCGCACCCAAGGTATTGTAAAGAAAGATATATAAGTTAACTGCTATTTATCTTTCTGCTTCATAACTTGAAAAAATGATTAAAATTTGGGACCTATCTTCAAAAGAATAGCAGTGGATGCTGACACCAAGAAAAGTATGTATTGGTGGGCACAATATGCGACTTTTTTAAAAATGACCAGTGACAATGAAAAAAAAAATATAAGTAATTTCTTATGTGCTCTACACGTAACTTATGTTTGTTAATTATCTATATGAATGAATAATGATCTGTCTGTTCTGTCAGAATGATTGGAAGCATCTCAGCCAGTTTTTATGGCCAGTGGGATTTTATAATTGGATAAGATGGTTTATTTTTAAATGTATAAGAAATGAAATGTTATTACTCTTTATGTCTGAAATGGATTTGTTTTCTAAAAATCTTACACAATTTAAAATGTAGGCTTTTGATATGTAAATTGGTAGCAAATACGATGACTGTTTTCACAATTTTCGGCCAAAAGTTTCTTCTTCTATTCATACAGCTTTTCTATCTTGAATGGTACTTTTATTTATGCTCAACTGTCTGGAATTTTTGTACATCCAGTATTCAGCTTTTGTGAACTTTTTGGATAGTTGTTTACCATATTTAAGACTATGCTGCGTTAAGTTATATAAATGTAGATTTATTATCGTAACAATGTCTTTAATGCAAACTGTTTTTCTAATTTTTGAAAATATGCTTTTAATGTAATGCATTGTCATAAATGTGAGAAGGGGTGCTTAAATTCCTTGAATGATTAAATTTTTCAGTGCTGCATTTCCTTTTCTGAAACTAAAACCGCTAGCAAATTTTTTATTTTTAAACCTAAGATGTTTACAATTTTTTTGGTACTGTTCTGTTAATTTGGTGCCATTTAGTGTCAAATATAAATGTTGGTGCAAAATCTAAGAGTAGATGGCAGCAATCTTAACATTAAAAGCATATTAAATCTTAAATGTAAAGCTTCATGAAAAGAATGGTGTTTTGTTAAATCTAAAATAAATAGCAAATAAATAAGTAAAGACAAATACAAAAACACAAAATAGATCTCGCTAGATTAAATTAATGTTACACAAGCAGTATAAATCTGCCAGTTTTATTTAAAATTTACAAAAACATAAGTTATTTTATGCAGTTGCATGAATTTGATGAGGTAGGAATGTAGTATTGTGTTGTGGTAGTTGGTAGTACTGTGTTGATGTTTTCTTTGCCATTTTTCACATTGCATACAGCATCAGGATCAATAGTTGGTGAGATGGTATAGTGGTTAGGGAAGCCTACTGCGGTTCCGAGAGGCCTGTGTTCGAATCCCAGAGAACACATGGATGTTTGTAATGTATAGTGTCCGTGCGGCATAGGGACACTCTAAATATACAGTGAGCCGAAACTCCTCTTGTGTGATTTGGTGGAAGGGGAGAGAGATGGAAGACCCCCAGATCACCCTGTGGAGTGTTATCCCTCAAATTTGGGGTGGAAAATAGAAGTCTAATTTCTCTTTGGAGTACGCTTTGGTAACCATTCTTCCATGTAATATGGACATAACAATAACAGCATCAGTATCAATAGCACTCGCTGTTCTAGGTGGTTAACTTGCAGTTGTTCATATCTGGCAGCTGCCAGTTCATTCAATTAGGCAACAGAAAGTCTAGACAAGAAAATTCATGGAGTTATTGTCATTCTTTATGCTTATTGGCAATAATCATTTCACAGTTATTCCTGACATGATGTAAACAGGTTATTACATTTGGCATTTTGGCACACATTTAGGAACTGACATTCCGGCAACAAAAATATACCATTCTTTTATCCTTGTATGCAGAAGTTTTATTTATTTTGTATTATATTTTTTTCCTCAACCAAACTGATATTCCTTTCTAACTCTTCTCTCTAAGTAAAAAATATCTATGAACTTCATTTATTTGCAGTGAAAGGTTAACTAATCTGGCATTCAGTTAACCAAAAAGCTCTAATAAATGGAATATTTTCAAGATTTTTTTTTTTTTTCCCTGAAAATGTAAGCAAATAAAGAGATCATGTAACTCCATCATAAATCACAGGTATGGTTATGACTCAAATCAAACAAAAGCTTTTGCTAAACTATCCAATTTAGTGGCAATTTTTTTGTAGAAAACTGTGTATCTTCTATTTATCTGTTTTTCAATTGCATTTTGAAAAAATGATTAAATTTAAAAAATAAAAAATGATCAAATAATTAAATTTGGAAATTGCTGTTCAGTGGAACAGAGCATTTTCAAAATTACACGATTCTGTCATCAACAAAAGTGTGAATGATTAAAATTTGGGGATTGCTTTCAATAGAATGTAGTATTTTCAAAGTTACTGTATCCTGCCATCAAGGAAAATGTAACTTATGTGAAAATGGATAAACACTGGCTGTTCATCATGTAAAATTATGGCAAAGGATTTAAGTTTTTGTTAATGTTGCGAAATACCCGGCTGCAGTGAGATAGCTTCCCCACAAAGCAAAATTAGGTTGCCAAAAAGTGCCAATAAAAGGCAGGGTTTCAAGATTTGGTGCAAAATCGCACATTTGGCAATATTGGCAACAAAATTAGTCATATGCCATAGATGGAGCGAGAACATTCTAGAATGCATTCTTAGTGGTTTTCTTCATTAAATTTATTCCTTCAAAGATATGTGAAAGCTATATATACCCTGCCTGTATGTGGAGAAAGTAGTACAGTCAAATATCGAAAATCCGCTGACCTGAAATCCGCATTGCCTCTCAAAATATAAACATTCAATTTATAGGTTCCGGAAACCGCAACATTGAGTACGAAATATTGAAGAAAACATACTTACTGAATAATGACACCATAATTACTGCATAATAATGAGTCATAATGGAAATACCAAATTATTCACATAAGAAAAGGTTTAAAAAATTAGATAAAATAAATAAGTTTTTTTCCCTCTAATCTGCATTGAGGTAAAAAAGCAGACAATTCACTCAACTCTTCGTTCAAGTTTACGATTCACGTTGTTGTATTTTCTGAGCTTTGTTATTTCACGAGATTGTTTAATGCTGCCTTTTTTTTAATCCATATATTTTGTGGATAAATTAGGAATATTTTTAATTTCAGCCCTTTTTAATACAGTGACAGATATGAAATGCATGCATGGTTTTACTGCTTGCAACATTGAAAAACGTAAACACGTTGCATTGACGGTAACGGAAAAAGTACAAATTCTGCAAAAGATGGAGGCAGGCTACTCCTCGATTTATAGCAGAATAGTATGGAATTGCGACACGATTTGTATGATACATGGAAAAGAAATTTTACAGCAACAATGATTCTAACTCCGGAATCCGAAACCGGAACTCTTTGCATGAGGCGAAATCGGCAAACCTCGATGCTGTGTACATATAATACAATGAATAATATAATCAATTTATATATGTAATAATAATTTAATGCTATATAAATTTTGCCTAAGTGTATAATAATTTAATTAAATATCCTATATGCCTTTTTTATTTTACACTTTTAGTCCAAATATTATGCTTTATCTTTTCTGTCCTGAAATCCGCACAACCTCTGGTCCCAAGCTTTGTGGATTTCTGGACTTCTACTGTAGCATCTTGAGTTCAGAGATTAGCTTAAGGAGTGATGAACCGAGTCATGAGCTGTACTTTAGTGCTTTGCCATGAAGCTGTCTTCACCATTATAGCCTGAAGGCTGTATTGCTGATTGTTTCAGCATGTTTGTCATAATTTTTTTATGAGTGTTAACATGCCTTTGGAACTGTCCTATGTAACAGTGCTTACAGGCAAATAAATTGTGTTTTAATTATTCACCAATTGTTATCATCAATTACTCCAAATCTACAAAGCTGTAGAACGCAATAATATGGTATGTCCATAATTTGTATATGTTTATTGGCTAACTAAATAAAGAATGATCTGTTCTTTCAAACTTTCTTCTGCCAAAATGACTGATATAAGATTTGTGATATCATCTTCGAAAAATTATACCAATTATTCAATAAGATTTTTATGATTGACTGAGTTTCATAACTGAATGTTTTACTTCAATGTTTATGCCTGAAATGCCAATTTTCTGTTGAAATATCATATAATTTAAATTTAGGAATTTGATATTCAAGTTGATAACAAGTAAAATGATTCTTTTTACAATTTTAGAAAGGAAATTTTTTCCTCCTATTATTTGATTATTCTACCATGAATTGCACTTTTAATGCTCAATAATCTGAAATTTTTGTGTATGAGTTTCCTGGATAGTCGAACTTTTACTGTATATATAGCTTCTATTCTGATATAAATGCTGATTTAATGTATTACACCCAGATAAATCTGTTGTCTGGATGTAATTCATTGAATTTCATTGTCAAAGAAAAGACTGTTGAAAATTCAGTTTTTAACTCCTCTTGCTCTTTTTTGATTTAAGTTGTTAGTTTTTTTCATAAATTTTTAGAAGGGCTGTTAGAAATACCTGAGAATGCAGGTTCCTCTCCATTCAGATGAACTTTATTTATAAAACTTTGTTTTGTTAAAAGCTGAATTAAATTTTGGAAATAAAACTTTGTTTTGTTAGAAGTTGAATTAAATTTTTGAAGTGTTTTTTACATTTGAAGGAATTTTTACTTTTCTTGAATATTCTGAAAGATTATTTTTACACTGAAGCAGTGTATCACCAAGAAAGTTAGAATTTTGTGTTAGTTGTCCTTCTGTCTATCTTTCAATCCTGAAGAATATGCTAATTGTATGGCATTTTTCATGATGTGTATCAAGGCAATGTTGATGATATTTTGTTATAATCTATTAAATAAACTACCTTTCTGTTTGAGATTATCCCTCCTCCTATGAATTAAATTTGGTTCTACTTTTTAAAAGTTCCTTCTTATGTTAGCAATTTGTGTATTTTTGCACTGTACATTTTTAACAAAAGAGTTGACATTGATCAACAACCTATTTAATTATTCCAACATTTTCATTGCTCTCTTTTTAGTGAATTACTTTCATGGTTTGCCTATTTCTAATTCAAGACAAAATAAGGAAAGTAGTACTTGCTAATTACCATTTGTAGCAATTTGGAGCATTTTAAAATAAGTAAATTAGTACTTATAAACACCATTAGATTTATTGTTTTAAATTCAGAATGTCTTATTTAAATTTCAGTTTTTTTTTTTTTTTTTTTTTTTTTTTTTTTTTTTTTCCATTTGCTTCTGAGGTACATACAAGAATTGGAGATCTGCATATTTGCTTGTTATCTGCTGTGCATTAATTTGACTTTACAGATTCTGCCAGGATAACTTTGCATAATATTCTTCCACTTTAAGTTTAGGATATAGTGTAGAAATAGGATTAAGTAGTAGTAGTAGGAGGAGGATTAAGTAATCCTAACTTAATCCTCCTCCTAGTACTAACTACTAATGCAATTCTAACTTAATCCAATTTCAAATAGGGATGTTACTATTGAAAGTTGTCTGTTAATAAAATACAGTGTGTCCATACTTAAATGTTCTGCTATTCAGAACTGCTTACAGCTATAGTCAGTTATCAGAAAAATATGAAACTATGTAAATGATGTAATGAAGGATGGGAAGACATTTTGCAAAAAACCCAAGGAATTCTAAATATCACCACTAGAGGACATATTACTGTGCAATACCCAAAGTACATATGCAGATTTTTCCTGCGCCATGTAATAGCAGCTGTTATAAAATCTGCACACATTTATGGAGAATTGTTTTCAGTGTGGTTGCCATTCACCTTGATTTGTCAAGATCTCAGTTATATTCTTTTATCAAAACCCTGATTTCACACCAGCTGTTTTATGGGCATTTTAAACTTTTGAAGGGGCTTTAAACAGCTCCGGTCACTGCTAAATGGTTCCCAAAATTATAATAAAATTTGAAACAACAGAGGTAGTTCAGGAGGTAGTAGTGGAAGTTCAGTTCAAATGGAGGAGGTCGGACCTTCAAATTTGATTTGAATTCATGAAATTTTGGCTTTTGGGGAGTTTGAAATATTTAATCATCTGTCATACCAGATCACATTACCTGCTTAGAAACAGCATTTTGCGACATGTACTCAACATGTTCAGGCATACACTTTGCTCAAGTCATCCTGCAGTTTCAGATGGCAGCTGACAATGATGGCTACTATGTGGAGGATGTTTCTCTATGATCAAAACTGCATAAGATAAATATATAACTTAAATATGTAATTTATTATTATTAATTTACAAATGGCGGGCACTTGCCTGTAATGGCATTGGCCAACTACTAAGGCCAGAAATGGTAGCCATTTTATTGTGGAGGCACCTAATAGGCAGCCACCGTTACCTCCTATGAAGGGGCAGACAATTTCACATCCATGCCTTCTACAGGATTTGAACCCGGGGCCCTTTGGTATTGCAGTCAGGCTCCCCTAACCACTATACCGTTTGGGCGGTGTAATTTATTATTAAAATGCCATCTTTTGGCAATATTTGCTAAATTTTTTCTTTTATTACATCAGACATAAAGTTTCCTACTTTTCTGCTGAGTATGGCTGTAGGCAGCTCTAAATAGGGAAACTTTAATTATGGACTCTCTATATGTAAAAAATCACTTTGTATAACATTAAATAGTTATGTCATATTGTCAAAAAGTCGAAAGTTAAAAATTGCAATGACAGGGTACTCTTTGGCCATAATTTTGAATTAACTTTGAATTCATGTTTTTAGGTCTTCATAGCAGCAAATATCTTGAGGATTGGACCAAATATAAATAACATCCAAATATAATTCTGCAAATATCTTGAGGATTGGGCAATAACAACAAACAGCCTGGCAAACAGTAACAGCCTGGCAAAGGTGTTTTTTCTGCATTGATACAAAGATGACATTTATGTACTGATGTGGTTGAAGACAAATTTATTGATGGACATTCTTGAGAGACATATTCTCAATCTCAAATAATTATGTGTGCAACATGCACCCCACAGTTTTTTATAACTTAACACATCTTAAAACCACAGAGAAAAGAGTGGCACATGTTAACAGCAGCAAGCAAAGTGTGAAAGTAAGCACGCATTCAGAAAAACCGTGGGGCAGTCAAAAGTTTCTTTAATGTGATTGGAGAAAAGATATCCACTATGCTATATGTTGCATAAGATGGTATGATGCAGATTAATTTTAAAAAGATGCAGTCTAGTAAATGCTGTTATAAATGATTTCTACTTTTAGGACAGAAAATGGAAATACACAAATTAAAATGAAGACTTATCAGATTATTGCTAATTTAAGTTACGATTTTGATTTACATATTTTATATCTGATATATATTTTTATAAATGTTTTTTTTTACTGAAGTCTTTTATTTGATATTTTGAAATTATATTAGCATAACGATTCATTACATTTCCGTGGTTATTAATGAAATCATGTTAAAACAGCCATGATCATGTTTTAGCTTTGATTCAGAAATATCAATTATTTCAGTCTTTAATGAGTTTTATTTATTATTTTTGTATGTATAACAGCAAAAAATACTGTGTTCTGTTATCCTGTGTAGTGAGAGTAATACATAATTCAGCACCAAACACGTGAGTCAAGGTTATTAATTTGTGTGCCTGTTTTATAGATCTGTTAGCAAACTTTCAAGTCATCAGATTATATTAAAGGATTATATACAGTCAAAAGTCGTTAATCCGGACTCGTCGGGACTTCGGCGATTCCGGATTATCGATTTTTCCGAATTATAGATCATCAGTATAAATCTGGTAAGATGGCATGCAGAAATTACAAAATTAAAAATATGAAACCGTAATTTATGAAATAAAGAACAATTATGATCTAAAGGGTATCAAAATTTACCAAAAGAAAAAGCTTAATATTTATTTGTTTACTTTATTAAACATTTCTTTCAATGTAAGTTGCTCCCATTTCATGTGATAATGCTTTCTCTTTAATTCTATTAAACAGACATAATTTCTTGTTTAGTTAGAAAGTTCCGCTTTCCCAGCGAGCAGAAATTTTCTCCCCAGCGAGCAGAAATAAATGTCGGCCAAGAAAAGGTACGAGAGCAACTCCGACAGGTGAAAGGAGAGCTTACAGAAGAAACTGGAGCCATAAAAGACGATGTGGAAATGAGAGAAGTGGCATCTGAAGAATCAAAGGATGAAAAAATGAAGGAAGTAGCTAATGAACTGCCTGAGAAAGATCAAGAAATGATGGATGAAACATCTAACGAGATTAAAGAAAGAGAACGAAAAGATGAAGAAAAAGACAGGAATGACGCTTCTCATCCTCAGGCGTCCGAAGTTGAACTGGAAGACAGTGATAATATTGCTCGTAAAGATGAAGAAATAAACGAAGTGGCTTGTAAAGCTTCTGAAAGAGGTGAAGAAATAATTCACATAAATAAAGTTCCTTATTCTTAAATGCCTGGAGTAGAGATGGAAGAACGCGAAAATGCGACAGTAAAGTTGGTAGAAACTGATAGTGAAGTCATGAAGTCGCAGTTAGCGAGTATTGAACCATCTGTCCTATAATTGTCCTATAATTGCTTTAAATCATATCAAAGACGGAGTACGTCGACATGAAATACTACATTTAGTAAGGAATTATAAGCCAAATAAAATAAAAACATCGGCCGTGAAGATAAGGATAGTGCTGATAGATCAACTTCCAATTCATCGTGCTCCGCGGCGTTAAAGATAAACAAAGTTTAGATAAACAAAGGATATGCCTTTATCCATTTTTTGCAGCAATTCCACTTTTTGTTTAATGAACTTCGAAATATACTTTCGCTTTGTAGATCCGTTGCATATTAATAAATATATATCAGAAACTCTATTTGACCCTGAAGATAAGGATAGAGCTGACAGATCAACTTCCAATCCGCGGCGTGAAATTGATAAACAGATTTCGGATTTCAAAACATACTTTCGCTTTGTAGATACAAATTACATATTAGTAAATATATATCGGAAATTCTATTTGACATAATCGAAAGTTCAAGCTTACTTTTATGAAATTGCTCTAACAGTCTGCAAAAAATAATAAGCCGGATCCAATTCGAAGATTAAGGAACAACGCAATCGGCAACATTGACTGAATTAGGTAATTTTAGCTTAGCTTATACCTCCGTTACACATTAAAAGCGCATGCGCACAAACATATTCGCAGCAGTAAAGGTCTTACGCACACTCTTAAACGCCTGTGTGCATGTGTGAACGCGACGCATGCGCAGAAAGTTGTAGCTTTGAGGTCCGGATTATAGATCATTCCGGATTATGGGTGTCCGAATTAACGACTTTTGACTGTAATACAGTTAGACTGCTGAAATTTATCCGATTTTAAATATTTAGCAGTAGATTACAACATAATTTTTTGAAATGAACCTTACTATGATTCATTTTCAGCATTAAAGAATAAAACAAATTGGATACACTCTTAATAAAACAAATCAGATGAATTATAAAAATATCAAAGTACATGTTTTTTTTTTATTTCCTGTTTAATTTTAATATTTTATTTCAGATTTTGATATTCAGAATGCAACTGTAGATCATGCACACGTAGAGACTGTGGCTCGCATAATAGCAACAAAGCCTTCTTATAATTTGTTGTTAGAAGATTACGTTAAGAGGTTGTCAAAACAGGTTTGTATGAATGTTTTTTAAGATACAGTATTTGGAAACTAAAGTGTTTTAATAGTAGAGGTTACATTAATATTAAATAAATTCATATATTAGCATCACATATTTGTCGTGTGACAATATCTTTAGTTGCAGTTTTTCTTTAAATTGTGTTTAAAGACATTGCCAAAATAAATTATTGCCAGTTAAAGCTTTCAGTAAATGATCTGAATTGTTGCTATATAGAAATAAACATGAAAAAGGTTATATAAAATAACAGACTTTTACAAGGAATATGAAAGGCAGATTTTCTGCTGTTACTCTGTCTTAACTTTTTCAGGAAAATATTTAATTTTAAAATGTGGTTTGATTATAAATTTTCTGATAGATATGTGTATTGGTTACAAGTTTTAAGTAATAGCTGTGACAGTAGACGTATGTTTTTAGCTTGTATCATCTCTTATCAATAGACACATTTGGAATTAAAAAGAAATAAGCTCAAAATAGAGGTGACATACATCATTTGCATACATAATACTGTGGTTGGATTATATTTCCCAGATTAACTGTACATCAGCCTTTCGAATTATTTTTGTTGGTATTGGTGTGATGTAACTTAGAATTACACCTAAATCACTTTCGCTTTAATTTTTTAATATTAAAGTGATTAATAATAGTATTAACGGGATTAATAAGCAAATAATTAAATAGGTTATTGATCAATGTGAAATCTTGTTAAAAATGTGCAGTGAAAAAAAAAAGGGGGGGAAGATAATATAAGACTAAACCTTTAAAAAGTAAAACCAAATTTGATTTACAGGAGGAAGGGATAATCTCAAATAGAAAGGCAGTTTGATTTAATTGCGAAAGTGATTTAGGTGTAATTTATAGTGAGAATTTAAGTCAATATTCAAAACAAACAATTAGTCTCTTATCTGTCAGACTAGATCTATTCAATCCAAGATACTTAATTCAATTTTATTTACATCGCACACAAATAACAACCAAGAAACCAAGAAACACTTAACAACCAAGAAACACTTATAAATCCAGGTATATAAAGTTCACATTTAACAAAAATTTCATCCTTCTACATTCTTTGCAGTTTCCATGGCAATAGAATTTATAACTCAGAAGGAAGTCAGACGAGCAGCGCCATCTCGCTCCTGTAATTATACAGGGTGTTTCATAGATCATGGGACAAACTTGGAGGGGTGGTGAAGTGTACTAAAACATGCATTTTTTATGTAGGGTCTAAAGTGACGGGTTAAGGCAGAAACAAAAAAAAAAAAAAAAAAAAAAACCGACGAGGAAAATGTTTATTCCAAAATCCGCAAGTGTTCTTGGCAATACAGCACAATAAATGTTCAGAATTGCGACCACCAGCAGTAATACATGCTTTGTAACATTGCAGAAGGGATTTATGAACATTTTGAAGAACGACGTACAGTCGCAATTGATAGTTGTGCAACGAGGTCCTACAGTGAGTCAACGGGAGTCTCGTAAATAATGCACTTCAGATGGCTCATAAAAAAATCCAAGCTAGATAAATCTGACGAATGGGGTGGCCATCGAACGGGTCCACCATGGCTAATCCATCGGCCCGGAAATGTCCCAGCCAAGTAATTGCGGACCCGCATATGGTTATGGGCTGGTGCACCATCATGCTGGAACCCCATGTGATCACGAACGACAACCGGAACATCCTGCAGCAATTCCGGTAGAACCTCTTACAGAAAAATATGACAACATAAGCCATTTGTACGTGCAGGTAAGAGGTATGGGCGTATGAGGTAGTCGTTAACAATACCTGCCCACACATTCACGGAGAAGCGGGTTTGGAATGCATGTGGATGTGTGGATTATGAGTTGCCCACACGTGCATGTTGCGGCTATTGAAGATGCTGTCCTGTGAGAAAGTTGCTTCATCCGTGAATAGCACAATTGATGGGAAATCCGCCTGCGCCGCACACTGCTGCAAGAACCAATGACAAAAATGAACTCGAAGAGGGTAATCTGCCTCTTGCAAGGCTTGGACTCTCTGCAAATGGTATGGGTGCAAGCCATTTTCATGCAAACGGTGGAATGGCTAAGCTGCAGACGACGTGCAGTAGCTCTTATACTTGTCTGAGGTTATTTATGCACAATGTTAAAGATGGATTCTTCAATGCGAGTTTGCCGTGCACTTCTTCCATTCCTAGTGTCATAGGTGGCTTCAAATGGCCCGTTTTCACACAGAGACCGATGCAACTTCTCAAACATTGTGTGCTTCAGCATACGCCTGTTCGGAAACAGTTCCTGGTACAACCGTAGCGCTGCTTTGTCATTCCCATTAGCAGCACCATACATGAGATGCATGTCAGCTTTTTCCCTTGTGTAAACTCGCCCATCACACTCGACATCAGAGTTGCGAATGATCCTCTGATGCATCAGATCGTGGTTTGTCCGGCTCACTACCGCCCTCTACCGCTGCACTGCCAGCCAATCACAGCTGTAGTTCCTATTACTGTTTTCCCTTTTTTGAACATTTATTGTGAATACTGTATTGCTGCAAAGAAGCACTTTGCATTGATTTTGTACATAAACACATTTTCCTCTCGTATCGTTTTTTTACATTCCTGCCTTAACACTTTAGACCCTACATTCTATACAAAAAGTGCATGTGTTAGTATACTCCATCACCCCTCCAAGTTTGTCCCATGATCTATGAAACGCCCTGTAGTTTCTGCTTGGTATTTGAAGAAGGTAAAAAAACTTTTTGGGGGGGTGAGAAGAGGACAGAATATTTACTACTTTTCATATAGTGAATCTAACTGATAAGGTAAATACTAATTCTAGTTTGAAAAAAAAAAAAAAAAATTATTTGTGATAGCACAAAGTAAAAATTGTGTTACCTTTGAAGTTGCAAAATAGCCTTTTGCTGGCTAAGGGCATTTCTGGTATTCAAGATATTCAAAATGTGATGTATTAACTCAGAAATTCAGAGAAAACAATAAGAGAATGAAAAGAAGATGGAGATGAAAGGCTGAAATGAGCTGGGGCTGGCACTGGCATGTAGAGATGCCATTATTAGACTATATGGGTCTTTGATTTCTTTAGAAGCTAATGTGGATCTGCAGAACATACAATCTGCCAAGTAATTTTTTATGACTTGTGAGTTAAATAAAATTAATCCTCTGGGAATATAATTTAAAGGGTAATTTTTATCTTTTTTATTACTTATCCATTTGTTTCAAATATACACCTTGCAAAAAAAAAAGGGGGGGCGGGGACAGTTCTATGTCCGATGTTCTACTGGATCAGTTTTTGAAATTTATGATGATATATATTAGATTTATATACAGCATTGTTCTAACATTTGTGTTTTGACACAAAATTGGACATTTTCTGAAATAATGTACCATTTTTCTTCCATATTTCGATTTTATGACTCAAATAATGCCCAGATATTAAATTTTGTAATTTTTGGTGAGAAATTTATGGAGAAATTAAATAATTTATCTTGGTACCTTTTTTTTCTGTTTGGGCCAAGAATAATTCACTTGGCGAACCTCATAATGTATAGAAACTTATTTTCCTTTCCTTTTTGCTTCCTTGTATGAAGTAAAGCAAGTATTGGTAATCACGAAAAATTCTGGTAATCCTATTTCAACGAAAATATATACTTTGACCGCTATCGAATGCAATTTAGCGGTGTTTTTGTTTTACATGTGTATGTAAGGACTCCTTTTCCCCCAAACGAATTATAAAACTTATTTAAACTGGACTAAAAAGAGATTTTTTCGTGGCGCCTGTACATACATATATATGCACGTATCTCGTATAACTCAAAAACGAGTAGCCTCAGAATATTGAATTTTTTTATATAGGACTGCTATAATATGTAGTTGTGCACCTCCCTTTTTGGTTGCAATCAGCTGCACCAAAAATATATAAATATGTGTATATCTATATACCTATTCTGTTACCTAGCTTAGTGAGCTCAGTTTTTTTATGCTTATATGTTAGTAAATTGTGCATATTTTGCTTTAAAAATGATTGAATTATGTTGTTCTTATCTTCCGGTTAAGGTTTCTATTCTTTAGTTAATCTGCATGCAATAGTTGTAGAATTATAAACAATTTAAAAGTTGTTTATGTTCAGCTAAGCCTAATCTTTGTTTACTATAGCAACCATATCTGTTTACATTTGAAGCTTAGCAGAATAGTGAATTCAGTTTCTGCAGCTTTAGTGTCTTTTTGCCAAGTGGGACCAAAATTAAGCTTTCATTTTTGTAAATCAAAAAATCTGCCTTGTTGCCTGATGGTCGAATTGCTTGTTATTGCGTAGAAACTCTTAATTTTAATTGTAAAAATTGTTTTTTTTTTATTAGTTTAACTGTATTTGATGTTTTATTTTTTTCCCTATATTTTTCAATTTTTAATGATGATATTTTGAGGTTTTATCTATTTTTGCCTTGGCATAAACTGAGAACAGAATTAATTGAATGAGAAATATATCTCTAATGAAATTCAAGGAAATAAGTTTAAATGAAATGCAAAACGTGCATGTAATTTAATATTCTGTACAAGGACGTCAGGGTGTACACATCAACTTTTTTTCATTGTACTTGAACAAAAAAAGTTCATCGTTCATATTTCAAATAATTTTATCAAAGTGCATAAACCATATTTGACATTATTATCACTTATAACAAATATGCCAAATTTCAAAACGTGCCGATATGTAAATTCACATATATCTTAGGAAATTTTGAATAAAAAAAAAAATTTTATTTATTTATTTTTTATTTATTTATTTTTTTTTCAGGTAGGCTTAGAAATATATCTACTTATGTTATATGTTAATGTTATATGTTATAGTTCAAAAATTTTTTGAAAAAATTATGAAGTTTATTTAAAGTACAAATTAAAAAAATAAATTATAAAAAATGGGTGAATTTTATTTAGAATGAACCTAAATTTCAAAACATGAAAGGAAGAATCAAGTAAGTGTAATAAAAAATATATTAGTAAATATGTACCAAATTCAATTAACATGGATGAGCTAATTTTTTAAAAATTACTTGTGCGATTTTTTACAAAACTTGTTACTTTGACATGATTTGAATCATAGGATTGAAATATAGAAAAAAATTGGTATGTTATTTTGGAGATAGCACAGTTTTTATGTCAAAATACCTGTGTTAGATCAATGATACATATACTCTAATATAATATATTCTGAGTCGTTCTTTTAAGACATGGACTGATTGCACAATCAGTCCAGTAGAGTGGGACAAATAAAACTGTCTTCTTTGGTATGCCTAAATTCAAGAAAATATTAAAAATTCAGCATATTGAACTAGGGAGAAAAAGAATATCTGATTACAGAGATACTTCTGTAGAAGGATTGAAAATTTCCTGAATAATGATACCCTCTTGGAAAACTAAATTTGCCATTCTGAGATTCTTATATAGCTGCTAAGAATGATCTGTTATAGCATAATATTTCAATCAAAGACATTTAATGGTGGATGAAAAATGTAAGGAGCTTATAACATTTTTAAATGAAGAGTAACAGGAAAATGAGACTTAAAATATATTCATTTGTGTTGAAACACCCATGGAAAAGATTTACCTGTGGAATTTCAGATGGAAGATTAATTTCATTATGATAATTTTAAAGTCAAGCACATGGTGAGCAGTTTAAAATAATGTTATGCTTATCTGGATGAGAATAAATTATAGAATTTGGTAAACACTAAGTAACAAATATTTCGTATGTTTTGTAACTTTTATTGTTTTAAGCAAATATTTTTTATAATTGAAATTGATCTAAATGCATTAAAGTTGCTTGGCTCATGAAAGCCTATTTCAAATATGGCAATAAGAATTTTAATAGGAAATAGTCATAGGGCAGAAGATATGTAACAGCAAATTGGTGGTAAAAAGGCAGTATCATATTATTATTTTAAATGTTTTTTTATCAGTTTTGTTACCAATATTTTCATGCATAGTTTAGGTTAGTTTGTTTGAATATGAGGGCTACTGGCCTAAGGAAAATAATGCCCTCATGGAGGACTTTCAAAAAAGAGAAACTGTCTCATATTCAAGTTACAGCTCCTCCTTTTGGGATTGAACCCAGTTCTGTTTTCAAAAGTAATGTAAATCAGAATTTTTATTAAAACATGCCTCGCCTCTCCCTTAAGGGGGCTATTGATTCTGCTACGGAAATGAATTTTGTTAATTGTTATGAATTTGTGTTACTTTAGGCTAAAATTGATTAGCCTTAAGATTCAAGACTTAAAGCTATGTGGCTAGGGTATGAAGACCTTTGTGAATTCAACCTGCTGTCATTACCAAGTTGAACAAGCTTGCTCTGAGGAATTGATTTGTTATGCTGTCATGTCCCTTTTTGGATTTTATATAGTTCTTCCTTATCTATGCATTCCAACGTGGTAGATTGTGAAAGCGTTTTAGATCCAATTATGGAATTCTTTATGTACTTAACCTTTTAATTGTCAAGTTATTTTGATGATTTGGGTTCACAAATTGTCAATTTTTTTTATTCCAAAAATGAAATATTTGCTTCGCAATCAAAAAAATTTAAAAAAATGCCATGTACTTTGAACTTTAACCTCTATCCTTTGAAACCTTCAGTAAAGTGCTGCCATCTATTGAACTGAAGGCGAAATAATCTTCTCGCGATATATATTTGAGTATAACAATACAATACACTTAAAAAAAAAAAAAAGAAAAAAATTAGCCTGAGTAATGTTTGGGCGTGACATTTTGGAATATCAGTGCTGTGCCCAAGATTATTTCAGGCATGATGGTTAAATGATGGTTAAAAGGTTAAACTTATTTATTCGCAAGATTTATATAATAATTTTTCTTGTTTCATTAAAACGTAGACCATTAGATGGAATTCTGAATTATTGAAATAAGAAAATAAAATATTTTGCTGTGTGAATTAATGCATATGAATCAAAAAGCTCATGACTGCAAATATATGGTACATGAAAAGAAGGTTAATTAACTTAGTAAATCAACAGTTTGAGATAGTTAAAAGCAGTGTGATTTTTTTTTTTATTCTTATATATAAATAATGATAATAATATCACAAAGCTGAATTTGAATGATGAAATTTTGGATTAGGAAATTCATGCATATCATCTGCATTTTTTATGCAACCGTCGAATGATTGGCTCAGGATTATATTCGCGGTGACTTAAGTCACCATGGACTTAAGCAGCATGGTTATTAGAGGGTAAACAGATTGTCTTTTTGTTTTAAAAGTTACCTTTCAGAGCACTGTATTTTTATTGAGAGAATTAGCATTTTGTTATGATTGTTTTTGAAAATTTCATGTGTATTTTATATAGCAATTAGATTTTTAAAAATTTATTTTAAATTTTTATTCTTATTTATATTTGTTTATTTATATACAGTACTTCTGTTCACATTAGGTATTTGAATTGCTTCATTCAAAAGGATCTCAGTTGGATGCCTTATATCATTCTATTGCATCCTGCCTTATTTTACAGTTTTGTGAAACAAGAATGAAATTAGCTCAGAAATATTTCTTTGACAGTATTTTTAAACCTCTTCAATTATGTGTCAGTTCTCCAGGTAATTTACTTGATTAATTACAAAAGGCATGCTTAATTTTTCTTTTTTAAAAATTATATACATATTTTGCCAGATTAAAAAAAAAATTCTGTATAAGTATCATTTGTCAAAATATATAGTTTAGTTACATTGCGAAGATAATGTGTTAATTAAGATTTATGAATCCACAGTCTGCTGATAATACTAAAATAATAAGAAGTTTAACATGTAGAGTCATTAGGTTTTTTTTTAAAGCAGGAGTCATGAAAAAGGAGCCAATGCCCTTGCTGGTACTTGAATATGCATCCAGTGTGCTGACCACTACACCACGAAGGCATGCTAAGAAGGCGGGAGAAATACCTTATGTACTCCCCCTTTTAAAGGGCGACTGGGGATTAGGGGGACCAATCGCCAAATCCTGGTGGTGGAGAATCATTATCCACCACCTTTTTTAGTTTGGCGCAACTGTAAAAACATTAGGTTATTTCAAAGCAGGAGTCATGAAAAATTAGCAATGCCCTCACCGGGACTCAAACCTCGGACCTCTTGAATGTGTGTCGAGCGTGTTATAAGGCGAGAGAAATACTTTATAAACTAATTATGTGAATTGAATTTATATGGCATATAAATGCTATTTCCAGAACATGCTATTAGCTTTTCAAGGAAACTTAATTATAAAAATTTGTTGGTATTTACTCTGTTCTAGGAAGAATGTTCTAGGAAGAATCGACTGTTTAGTAAAATATCAAAAGATATTAATATAAATATTTCATGTGTTAGTATAGTTGATTGAATCTATTTTTTTATGTGTTTCTGTAACTACAAATTAATATTGAATTCTGCTTGTTTTTTATCATTAAACTTAATGATATGAGCTTTAAATTCATGTTTATATGTATATTTATTTTAAGTGGAAGGATGTAACTGAATATTAGAATCTGATGTGGACACATGACTTCTGTTGAAGGCGCTGATTAGACTGTATACTAAAGACAACTTTACAACAACAACAACCAATTTTATTTTGTATTTTGTTGGACTGTAATATAACTAAAATTTAAATCAAAATAATGAATTCCCGAAAATACGGGATCAAAACGTATGCTACACTAGGAGTCCGAATTTTAACTAACTGAAATTGCGCAGAAATAATGCTGTGTACATGACTTTCAGTGCTGCATAGTAGGCAACAACTTCCTTGTATGACCTATTAAATTATACACATTTTTTGACCGCATTTTATTTAAGCTTATTTTCTGGAAATACTTTAACTTAATTAACCGATCCCTTAAGAAAAGTTGAAAATGGCGTAAAAAATTGCAAATTTTGAGATGAAATATTATGGTCGGTTTTAATTGTACAAGAGTCAAACTTCTAACTTTATATTTTTGTTACAAGTATAAAATTTTCCCAAATATAAAAACCATAAGATCACATTAAAAATTAGATTTTATTATTTGTCAGAATTTAAAAAAAAAAAGAATTTGACATTGCCAGAACATGAATAATTTCATCATTTAAAACATTTTTGCAATTGAAAGTATATGACTGACCAACAATTGCAAAGATAAAGTCCAGATAAGGTATCTTAAATTGGGTAAGGGGGTAGGTATACATATAGGTTTTTGTCTTGGGCAAGTCGCAACTTGTCTTGAAACAAAACAAATTTATTTCAACATTAATACGTATGCAACTTCTTAATAAGACATTGTTCATTTTATTTTCAAAAAACAAAGTGGCAAGAGTTCCATCAATTTTGCTCGTGCAGTAAACAGTTAAAAATTAGATAGTGCGCGAGAATTATAATTATGAGTTATGAGTTTAACATGATGACATTATTCTGCTCTTGACATCATGAATCATCGGTCATCTTACATCATCGTTGTCTTCAGTAAGAGGAACTATCATCATGAATAGACCAAAACCTGAAAAGAAATACTAACTATAAACCTGAAATGAACCTGAAAAGGGAGAGGGGGAGATTGTGTGCTAAGGACAGTATTGAAGGAAACATCCTAATTGTCTTTCATCTTTGCAACAATAGCATTGTCAACAGTCTCTTCTATTTTTCATTCTGTTTGCTGACTTCAGATATAAAATTAAGAGCTGATTTTGCTCTAGGAAATCTTGTTTCTGGGACTGAAGGTTCTTCAAGGGAAGATTTACACCTCTTATAAGATCTTGTTTCAAGTTTAGTTGATTCGTAAGCTGAAATTACAGTAGATGGTGTTGGAACAGCTGCAGCACTTCATAGGTCTCCATAATATTCCTAATCATCAGCATTAAGAATTTCTCGCAACTGACAAAATTTTTCATCAGTGATACACACTTTTCTTTCCAATTCTGCTTGCTTAGCAGATAATCTCTACTCTATCATTCCATCCAATCCTTTTTATAAAGCTAGTTTTTCTTGCGTTTTCAATTTATTATGTTGAACTTCTTTTTCATGCTCAGACAGGTGCTCATCTGAAATTTTGCAGCTTCTACTTCATTCTTGGCATCTGATAGTTGTTTCTGTAACATTTTTACAGTAAGTTCTGATACAGAAAGTTTTCTTTCCAAAGATATAACTTGTGGTTCACACGCATCCAAATCCATTTGTAAAATAGTTTTTTCCTGTTTTAGTTTAGTACTTTCTTTATCTATAATTGGTAAACGTCTGGGTCTCAAAGAAATAATTTGGTCACCTTTTAAAATAATATGCATCATGTCTTTCTTTAGGTTTTTCAGGTATGCCTGAATCCAGCTTTTCAGCTGGAAGTTTCTTTTACTGTTTACTCTTTTTTACTGTTGATATTTATGTTTCACCAGTGTTATCTTCAACCAATTTCTCAGATTCTGAATTCTTTCATTTTCTAGAACTCTTTGGCCCTGATGAGGGTTTTTTAGAATTACTAATTTATTCATTACTCTATCTGATTTTCTAAACTTTTCTTATGTGGATTTTTTTGTTCTTTCTATAGGAATGGAATTCATCCTTTCCTCTACATTTAGCAATTTTCCTTTTCCACATTTAACATTGCTTTTTTCTTCCTCTTTCTTTAATTCATCTTCAACAGCATATGTTTCTTCTATAGGGTTTTCAGTTTTATTATGAATATAACTTAATTAAGCATTTTACTTTCGACCTGTGTGCTTTATTAATATCCGAACAGTTATCTAACTAATTTTCTTGATCTATACATTAAATTTGATTCATTTTCATCTTTTGCTACTTTTCTGAATATGCAGTTCTTGTTTATAATAACTTCCATTTGCAAAAGCAATTCATTTCCAGTCCCCCCCCCCATTTTTTCATTTTTTCTTGGAAGTACAACATAAATATTTGATTTAATTTCACAGTCATAAATTTGTATGGAACCGTTAAAATACCTGATAGGTTTTTGAAGAATTAATGCTAGGTGAACCAATTACTTTATTAATATTTTCAATTATTATATTTATGTCACTTCCTCTATTCAATGAAAGCTTCTACTTCTACATTATCTATCAGTACAATTTTATGCATGCCGTTCCAATGCTTGTTTACAAATATATGATTCACTCCACCAAAATCCTTTATATTTGTCTTATTTTTAATACATTCTGCAGCTACATGTCCAAATAAATTAAAAGTAAAGTATTCCCCCCCTTGCTCTCATTTTTGCAGAAATTGTCCACATGACCAAGATTTCTGCAAGTAATGAATATTTGTTTTTATTTTACTTTCAAAATAGGTTTCAGAATTAGGCTAAACGGATTTGTTTTTATCATTACCTAATTTAATTTTTTCATATATCTAAAGTTTTCCTGAAATTCTGCCATAGTTTTACAACCATAAAGAATAGATTAATTTAGCGTGGAATCATTTATACCGTTAATAACATATTCGGTTAAAGTGCCGTTTTCAGTATTACCTTTGGAACATAAATTTTTTTAATTACCAAAAAATATTCATATAGAGATTCTCTTTTCTGCATTATATGTTGTGATAATAATTCGTGTAACTGAGCAGAGTTATATTGAACACCATAATCATTTACTAATAAGGCCTTAAGTGCATTTCACAAATTAATTTTTGTTTCATTTTCAATGAATAATTTTGCTTTTCCAGTTAAATATTTTTTGGTGAATATCAGACTGTAATTCATTTAGTTTTAACAAATTAGATACATCCTCAAAAATTTCAATGAATTTGTCAACTGAATTATGTGTATTACCATCACATTTAGTAATCAAAATATCAATGTCATTAAAATTTATGTATGTATTTAAAAACTGGGAAAGTTGAAACTGAACTGATGACTTATCAATCATAAGGACATCATTTTGAATATCATAGCAATTAGCTTGGGCTGAATAATTTTCAAGTCTATCAGATATAATATCGCCCTCTAACTCATCTGGAATTATGTTGCTCTGTAAAATACTGAAATTGCATAAATAACTTGTAATCATTTTAATTATTTCCGATTTTGAACAATCACAAGATGTACTTAATACATGTAAAATCATTTAAAGAAAAAATTTCTTAAAATTTATTTCTTCAGTATATTCTGTTTATTTCAAAAGGTAGTCATCATTAGTTTAAATGTAAAACCTGTAAAATCCCAGAGTCACTTTTGTTTCTGTTGGTCAGCTTCATGATGAAATATAAATTTAACTTAATATTCCCTACTTTTTGATATTTCAAAACACAACTATATTTCTTTATATTCACTAATTTTATATTGTAATATATAACAAAATTCAAACTTTTAAAGTTGACTTATAATCGTCTATGCAAGGTACATACAGATGTCATGAAAACAATCCCATTTGAATCCATTTTGGAAAAAAGAGTGCTTTATTTTGTCTGTACATTACGTATGTAATGAAAAAAAAAAAAATCATCCAAATAGATTTTGAAATGGAATGGATATTTGCATTGAAATGTAATACCCGAAATATTTCCTATTACAATATTTCCTTTACTCCATGCAAGTAAAAAGACTTCAGCATCAGAATATGGATATATAAAAAACAACGATGCCTGGAACAGGTTTCATTTATAATGCACTTAAGCTGCTTCCAAATTATGGTCACCATGCAAATAACAATTTTCAAGTTTTAATGAGCAACATTACCTTATTTATTTATTTTAATGTTCCTTTATTTTGGCTTTTATATACAAATCAAGATATTTTTTGGTTGGGGGTGGGTCTTTAAACACAGTTTAAAAAAGTCTGTTAAAAATATAATATGAAATAGTAAAAACAGAATGTGTATCATCTGTTAATATCTGGTTATTTGTATTCATTAGGTGAGTGCATTTATAGTTTCTATGCTTGCTTGAGTCGTCAGTAGTTAAAGGTTATCATTTGCTTTGGGCTGCATCAAATTCATGAAAAAAGTATGTTTGATTTCTAATGCTGAGTTGTTTCATTCTTTTCCACAGTTCATTGCAGATAATCCAGGCATTCTGCAGTTACTGCATAAAATTAAAACTGAGTGGGTTTTTTTTCACCTTTTTTTTTTATGAAATTAAAAGTATTTTTTGAATATCTTTTTGTTAAATGGAAAAGGTACTATTTTTGGTCTTTTGTGAAAGTGAACATTTGTAAAGCAGAATACACCTGAATAATATTTTTTAGATATAAGTTTTACAGTTGTTTTATATAGTAAATTAATCAAATGAAATCTGGTGTTATAAAAACACATGTATTTCTATCAAAAGTATGATTAATTTTTCAGAACATTTTGTGAGTACAAGAAGTAAACATCTTTCATATATAAGCATTAGAGTACCATAAATTTAAAACAGATTTAGGTATAAAACGATCATATTGCACTGCCTGTCTAAAAAGCTTTTAAATACATAATATTTACTTTATAAATGTATACATGTACTTTTCAATGTATTTATATAATTTTATGATGTCTCTTTAGGTACAGATGGTGTTATTGTGAAAGAGAATGAATTTACAGTGTGCATTGAAGATTTGTATCAGGTACTGAATATTCATTGTTTATACAAATGTTTAATAAAATACGTTTTGAAAGATAAATTAAACATTAAGACTTGACAAAGTAACTTTTAAGGTTGTTATAGTACTTAGTACTAGGAAGAGTCTTTAAATAATAATAATAGTGTTCCTTACATTCAAAATTGCACTATTAGGATTTTAAATGTAGAATGCACAAAGATGTATTTCAATAATGTTTTCATTTTTCAATGTTCATTGTACAAATTTGTTAAGTGCTGTATTCTTCAGATATAGTTACAGTATTTCCTCTTGTATTTTTTTTCCTTTCTGTGTTGATTTTATCATCCGAAAATTGAGAGAGGTAAGTTATGCAAATAGTTTAATTTCAGAGGGATGCAATTACGGTAAGTACATAACAAACGAAAAGTAGTCTTGGATAAACTACAGGTAAATCTCACAGTATTATTTCTTTAAAAGAACCTACATTCCAATAAGAATACAAAAGAGTATTAATATTACAATATCTAATAAATTATCTTCATCTCCATCTCCCTATAACTTGAATCTTGCCCATTTGCATTTTTGTCTTTGCTACACCTTAGGCTTCAAATTAGGCATAAATAATTAAAAAAGGTGAATGTGCAGTTGACTTAGAGAAATCATAGATTGAATGTCAGTACATGTTTGCTTTGCTGTGATGAGTTGGTTCTTGTATTAAGCTGGGATAACGTTTAACAGTTAAAAGGGAAAGGTTCAGTGTGACCTTCACAGGTAGTTTGTGAGAGTTTGTCTTTGTTAGTATAACAAAAACGATCACTATGCAGAAGAATCTATTTTAAAATTTAGGGAAGCTCGTTCTCTGAAAATGCCGTAGGAAGGGGGAAAGTTATGCAAATATTTTATAAATTTTTAGAATCTGGAGGTAAAAAAATGAGGGAATACATGAGGAACTATGGTAAATAGATTATCAGTTTTTTTTTCATTTATGGGCAGAAGACTTTAATAAGTTTGTTTTTGTACTATACAGAGTGATTCAAAATATCCAAAACTTTAAAGGTAGATGAAGAGCATAAAAAGAAACTACCCCTCCCCATTAAACATAGGAACATGATAGTTGAAAGCAACACCTGCATATCCTAGTGAGTATTGTGTGCCTGGAATTGTGTTAGGACAAGTGAGTTATTGTTATGTTGTTATGTTGTTGTTACCAATCTCACTTGATTGACAATTGTCAGCAGAAACCCACAAGATTCATCATAGCAAGGAATCAAATACACCTGCAATTGGCAAGAACCTTAGCACCATATAGATAACAGCCTGACTAGTTCTGCTTTGCCCCTAATTTTGAGAGAATGCACTCTAGGGGATGGGTCTGAGGGTTTTCCATCCCTCTTCCCCTACCCTCAACCCATCGAAATTTTATAATTTCGATTTAGAGTTTAGATTTCGATTTAGTTTAGATAAAAAATTTAATAATTTCGATTTTATAATTTAGAACACATTTAGAGTGTTCTGATGCTGCAGAGACACCTTCTCTGGGATTCAAACCTGGACCCTCTGGTATGATAGTCAGAGTCACTGGCCCCTATCCCGGTTGGGTGGGGCATTGATGTGTAATGAACATGTTGTACTTGCATCACCTTATTTGCATTTCTTTGTCTTTAACTTTTTCTGTACCTCTAAGGCCTATATCACACATGAACAACTGTTTCAGATAGTTTTTCTGCCTGGTTTACTATTGAAAGATAGATCGATTTTTTTTTCCTTCCTTTCAAAATAAAGAAATTGCAAGTTGTTCGTTTTCAACCAATCAGCTTCAAATTGTATCAGCTTGTTTGTTATGGAGAGCCAGTTTTCCCTGTTAACACTCCAAAGTGATCTGTGGCGATTGACTGTTGTGACAAAGCAAAAAAATAATTGTTCCAGACAGTTGTTCTTCTGAAACAATTGGATGTGTGATAGCAGCCTTATAGGCTCAAATTGCATTTCCATTCTTATGCAAAAATGATTTGTTTTTATATTCCTGATAACTTTTAAAATTCGTATTTATTGTATTGTATAATGCAGTTAGAATAAATATGAACTTTAGAAAGCTGTCTTGTATTTAATATACAGTGCAAATTTTGATATCCTGACTCGTCGGGACTTCGGAAATTCCGGATTTGAGAACGGCATTGAGCTTTGTTTATATTAAAATTTTTGTTTAAACATAAATAGTTCTTAGCCAACTAATTCTTAAAAAAGGTGGCATTCCCTTGAGTAATTTTTAAACTTATTTAAATAAGTTTTGCAACTAAATTCAAGGTGCAGGTAGGAATAAATAATTGTTGCCTTCAAGAGCTGCTACAAAACATTGCAATTTAGAAGCTGAAATGTTGTGATAACATTATCTTCTAACGGTGGGTATAACAAAAACGATCATTTTTGTTACACCCATAAATGATTGTTTTTGTTATACCTAAATTATTATAATTTATGTTATACCTAAATTATTATATTTTTTGTTATATAATTTAGTAATGTAACAAATTTTATACCTAAATTATTATAATTTAGGTATAACAAAATTATATTGTTATACCTATAATTTTGTTATACCTAAATTATTATAATTTATAAACTTTTCTAAAATAGGATCTCTGGTAGAAAAAATAATAAATATAAAAGGAAATTTGATAATATGAAATATATTGATTTGATAATATAAAAGGAAACCTGTATAAATGTATGTTAACCAGATAACCTACAGGAAAATGCAAGTCAGAATTTCTGCTTCTGTACCTTTTTGCCCCTTACAATCTAGTCAGCTGTATTCAATATTAATATGTATTGAAATTAATTATTTATGTATCTTCCCTCATCAAGAAAATATAATGAATACTTTGCACATTATTCAAAAGAATTGTGATCATTAAAGTCTATACTAATTTTTTTTCGAATTGCAGAATTTTATTTTCCTTGCCCTCTGGGTGTATGATCTAACATTAGTATTTTACTAATTTTGAGATGTACTGTAATTTTAAAGTAAATATAATGTAGAAAGGCAAACCATAAAATTAGTAAACTCATCTTTGATTTTAAAGCATATTTTAAAAACTTGCTGTAAAGCCATGCCTTAAAAATTTTACATATTTGTGTTATCGAAGACTATGTGACTAAAAATTAATTTAAGTGTATTTCTTCAATTTTTCCCTCTTTTTTGGTTAAATATTTCTAGTCTGTGAATTTGACTTTTTTAAATAAAAGTCATAAATTAGTCATATTAAAAAAAATTTTTGAAGATGTAACAAAATAGTTACAGTGAAAATTCAACTGTGTTTTAAAATGTTAAGAACAAGAAATGCAACACACGGAAGCAGCTTGAAGCATTTTTTTCACCTCGCTGTAAATTTCTGCTAGAGCTTTCCTTATGGATTGTTAATATTAAACGTTTAAAAATTATTGATGGTATTCAAGTCAACTGGCTAAAGTTTGCTTAGACACTAAGCTAGAAAAAGTTCGTATCTCATAATTTTCAATGTTAAAGCATTTTTAAATGGTTTAACTTCTTTAACAAATTTTATCTTGTTTTTGAAAAATTAAACATTTTTGTTATCAGCCATATTATTTATGAGAATCTTCAAAGGCTTAGACAGTCTTTAAAAAAGTGTAATTAAATTAAAGAAGTAGATATGACGCAATGATAAGCTAGTATTGAGACTTCATGTATGTTGTAGCATCCTATGAATTGTAAAATTTGAGAACATAAACCGTAACTATGTGTTCTAAAATTTGAACACATATATTTTACTAGAGTTATTTTTAAATACCAAAATGATGTGCAAATATATTTCTCTGATTTCATCATTAATTTATTTTTCCCTCTTTAGATTTTTGTTTCCTGCAATTCTCCTGTCAGTCGAAAGCATTCACGTTTGCTGTATCCTTATTTCCACTGTTTATGCCGCTTGTATTTCTTCTTATTAGAAGGGATATCATTTCTGAGGTAAAAAAAAACTATCATAATTTTAATCATTTAAATAAATACTTTTGTGTAAATTTGCATATTTGGTATTAGAATAATTTTTCCACATTTTTATTGATTTAAATAATAATGAATAGATAGTAAATTATAGATTTAAATAATAATTTAGAGTTGTTGTACTTATTGACAACAAGATGTTCCACAATGGCCATATCGATAAAACTGTGATAAAATGATAGTTTGCTTCCATACAGTAAACCCCTGCTGAGCATGCGTTTAAGGAATGTGATTTCGCATGCGCACTTTTTCTATTTAATTTGCCTGTTTCTAAAATTTGACTCATATGCAGTTCAACATTCATTTCGAATGCTTGCGGGCATCAGCTCTGGCTAGAAGTTATCAACAATTGAAAACGATAGCAAGCAATTGTATAGACTGCAGGAGTACACCTGACCAAACCATCACTACAGGTACGGGGCCCCTAAGCTGATATCAAATGCAAGCAGGCAATGTGCGGACTCCTCAGATATGTACAGGGCCATCAGATTACTGCATGTAGAATCAGACTCATTTGAAAAGGTGACATTCTGCCATCCAGCTTTGTCGTTTAGCGCACCAGATTCGCTGTCTCTCTCTATGCTGTGTTGTCAAAGGAAGCCAAAGTAATGGTCACCTGTTGATAGTCCACGCTGCTGCATATGTCGATGCACCTTACGAGCTGATTATGGGCGTGCTCCAAACGTGCCCATTTCCTGACTAATGATCTGTGATGTGGTCGTACAGTCTTGCAGGGCTGACCTCACAATATGTCTGTCCTCTCTGGCGTTAGTCATGGGAGGTGTTGAAATCCTACATGCCGTTCAGTGTGACCCTCAACAATCTATTGGTTCCATATTCGCTTGACAGTAGTTGGATGTTGACCAGTGATATCACGGAATGATAGTCTGCCCTTTCGATAAGCAATGATCCTGCTTCTATTGAATTTCGAAACTTGCTGGTAAGCATTTCCTCCTCTTATTCGAGGCATATCATGATATCCTGAGCAAGCTCCAACATTACAAAGTACTTTCCAAATGAGAAATCCACCACACAATTTTCTTTTATGCAGTGCTTCAGATGCCGTTTCTCCCTCTTGTGTCATCTAAATGTGCTGAAATACTAATCATATCCATATCCCAACTTCTTCCTTTCATGTGATTTTGTCGTTCATCTGATCTTCCTTCCTGGTGTTGATGTTTTAATACCCAGCGGTGTAATTAGCAATTTCAGATATGAAAGAAGGAGAAATCAAAGAATTAAGCAAGAAATGACAAATGAAAAAGTCGATGATCAGCAGCTGACAGTGAAAGTAGAGGTAATGGAGAAAATAAAGTGCCTTTAGCTCACAAGAAATAAGAGTTGTTATAAAGCCATAGGAACTTTTTGACTTAGCAGTCAAGGTTGACTTAAATGAAGGAAAAGGGAACATTTTATAAAAGGTATTGAAAAACACCTTATATAAAAACCTCTCCTTTCTATCACCTCGTCACTGCAAAACTTCTAAGAGCTGTGTTAGTCACTGTACACCCATGTGGTGACCGTTCCTGTATGTTGACTGAATAATAGTCCCAAAATTAGCTCATGTATGTCATAAGAATTGACTAAAATGGGTACCCAGTGTCCAAGAGTTTGGCTGGGCACACTGTCCCTAGGGATTATATCAAGGGACTGGTTTTCCAGGTTGGAAGTGTGGTGTGGGGTTAACTTTCCCACCCTGTAAAAAAAAATTCCAGTTCAGAAATCTCAAAAGCTAAATCGTGGATGAATACCACCCAGACGAGATGGAACAACAATGGACTTGTGTATTAGCACTTGGAATGAGCGTACACTCTAAAAGGGTGGAGCAGTTAAAAATCTGGTTGATGTCTTTGAAAATTATAATTTAGATATTTGGTCCATTCAGGAGATCAGAATGCTTGGCTAAGGAATTTTGGATAAAAAAAGGTGCAGTATTTTATATAGCTGCCATGATAAGCAGCACTGCTTTGGAGTTCAATTTGTAGTAACTAGGAAAATAGGAGACAGAATCATAGACTTCAAACCTATAAATGAAAGGGTCTGTAAAGTGCAGATTCGAGCTTGCCTTCAAAATATTAGTATTATCAGCGTACATGGACCTACAGAAGACAAATGTCATGCTCCCGCAATGGAGATAAAAGTTTTGTTCAGCATTGCCATTGCTTGCTTTGAAATCGTTGAGTTTGTTAATCAAAAATTCATTGAAGTGTTATAAAATATGAAATCAATAATAAAACAAATTCCAAGTTAGGTCTTTCAGATGCCCATATTCAGTAGAAGATTACGTAATTCAAAATTGGATGGTTCTATGTACCATTGTTTTATCACAATGTAAGAAACATACATGCATTTATGCAGATTCTTCATTATTTAATTTCTTTATATATAACACAGGGCGATAATACTTGGTGGCACCAATTTGAAAAGTGAACCGACATTTAAAATTTTCAATGCGAAATGCCAAAATGAAATTAATAGCCCTTCTGGGACCCATTTGGACTAAAAAATGGCTACTGAAATGTAATAATATCCAGAATGATGACTTCTCATGCATACAGACTGAAAAAGTAATTAAGGATACTGCAAAGGAAGTTCTACCAGAACTGAAAGGGGAATAAACGACATGGATAGTATGATTGTGATAGTGCAAAAATTGCTGAGGAGAAAAAAAAAGCTTCTAAACTTCTGATACAAAAACACTATACTAGAGGAGTAGAAGAAAATTGTAGTTCGTTGAGAAGACATGAAGAGAAAGACTGTTTCATATGAAAAAGAAAGCATATATGGTGGAACAGTTTAGTGAGATCGAAAATTTAAAAACACAAAATAAGTTGAGAAAATTTTGCCAGAAAATCAGTGCTGTATCTTGCTTTGCCTATTCTGGGACTATTAACTGTAAAAAAGGTGATGGCGAGCTTGCAAGTGATAAAGTTGAAGCGCTGAAAAGATGGAGAGAGTTCTTTAGAGATATTCCGAGGGAAAAACAGAAGGCAGGACTTATTAATAAGGTTATACAGTCAAAAGTCGTTAATCCGGACTCGTCGGGACTTCGGCGATTCCGGATTATAGATCATCAGTTTAAATCTGGTAAGATGGCGTGCAGAAATTATAAAATTAAAACTATGAAACCGTAAGTTATAAAATAAAGAACAATTATGATCTAAAGGGTATCAAAATTTACAAAAAGAAAAAGCTTAATATTTATTTTACTTTATTAAACATTTCTTTCAATGTAAGTTGCTTCGTTTTATGTGATAATACTTTCTCTTTAATTCTATAAACAGACATAATTTCTTGTTCAGTTACAAAGTTCCGCTGTTCAAGTCCTATAATTGCTGTGTCTCGAATACCGACTAATTTGTCAATCGAAATTTTTTCGTTTTCAATAACCTCTGTGTCACTTTCTTCACTAAAGGAAGCAACTTATAATGACGAGGAATTTGATTTAAATCATATCAAAGACAGAATAAATCGAGATGAAATACTACATTTAGTAAGGAATTATAAGCCAAATAAAATGAAAACATCTGCCCTGAAGATAAGGATAGTGCTGACAGATCAACTTCCAATTCATTGCGTGCTGCTGCGTCGACATTATTGGCAGAAGTTAAACAGTCAGTTGCAGAGACTTTTATTTCTCTTGAGTGTGCAGCCGGAGACACTGGACTATAAGCATTAATGAGAGTAAGACAAAATTTATGGCAGTCATTAGTAAAGCACATAATCCCCTCCCACTGCAAATAAACTCTTATACTTTCAAGGGCATTGCTCAGTTTACGTATCTCGGTGCTATCATCTCTAATGATAACAATATTAAACTTGGAATTGACAATACATTATTTGGAGCTAATAGATATTATCATTGTTTAAAGAATTTATTAATGTCTAAATTATTAAGCTTTATAACAAAAATAAATCTGCATATAACTCTTATTAGAGCTATCATATTGTATGGTAGTGAATGCTGGCCATTAACAAAGACAGTTGAAAAAAGACTTCTAATCTTTGAAAGAAAGATACTCTGAAAAATATATGGCCTATTTAGAGAAAATAATAAATAGATAATTTTGTTTAGCCAAAAAATCTATAAAACATGCCAGCAAACTAATATTGTCTTGAGTCATCAAATCTTATTGTATCGGGTGGCTTGAACATATGTATAGATGAGACAATTTGAACTCTGTTAAAAAGGTGACCTTTGCAAGTGTAGAGGGTATTAGGAAAAGAGGAAGGCCTCGTACAATCTGAATAGATTGTATAGAGGTAGATCTCAAGACTTTAATCAATTGTTGGCAGACCACAACTGGTTGGATCCATTGGAGGAAGCTTGTTGAGACAGCCTTAGTCTGTAATAGGCTGTGGTGCAAATGAAAGTTATTGTTCCCAAGCAACAGTCATTTCAATTAACATTTGTTTCATTTTTTTCCCTTTTAATTACACCAATATTTGCAGTTTTTAAAATAATACATACTTTTTTAATGTTTTTTCCACATAGAGGGTTTATTGTATTTTATCTCCTGGTGATTGAAGAGTTGTCTCACGTGCAACACAAATGTGAGCCAGTTTTCCTGAGAAAATTCTCCTACTGAGTTAGCCCTTATATTCTTTCCTATAATGCAATGGATTCTTGATTTCACAAACTTGTATGGACTGCAAAAAATATCCGTAATTATCAAAAGTTCATAAATGGTAAAGGCATTAAAAAAGGCATAAACCTTTTGGAACCAACAAGATTGTTTGTGAAAGCATGTAGTTTGTAAATCAGAAGTTCATGAAAACATGAATTGACTATAATCAATAATTCATTCTTTTGGTTCCCTTCTCCCAAAAAAGCTTTTTTGTTTCAATACTTTTCAAATGGCTTAGAAATCAAAATAATATTATACATGCTTGTCATAATAACACCTATGAGAAGTTAGAATGAGCGATTTTGAAAAACATACTATCAGTTTGGAAGTATGGTAATTATAAGTAAAGTTCTAAAGGAATTATCATTTTGTAACTTGTAAGTAAAGTGACTGGTTAGACATGAGCGACCCCCTCTTTTTTTTTTTTTTTTTTTTTTTTTTTTTTTTTTTTTTTTTTTTTTTTTTTTTTTTTTTTTTTTTTTTTTTTTTTTGTTTTTTTTTTTTTTTTGTTTTTTTTTTTTTTTTTTTTTTTTTTTTTTTTTTTTTTTTTTTTTTTTTTTTTTTGTTTTTTTTTTTTTTTTTTTTTTTTTTTTTTTTTTTTTGTTTTTTGTGAAAAACCATCCCCCCCCCCCCCCCCCCCCCCCCCCCCCCCCCCCCCCCACCCCCCCCCCCCCCCCCCCCCCCCCCCCAAATCAGCCCCCTTTGGAAGTATGGAATATAAGTAAAGTTCTAAAGAATTACTCACCCTTTTTTTTTTTTTTTTTGTTTTTTTGTGTTTTTTTTTTTTTTTTTTTTTTTTTTTTTTGTTTTTTTTTTTTTTTTTTTTTGATTTGGAGTACAGTCAAAGTTTAATCCGAGGTCCATAATTCAGAATGATCTAATCCGACTAAAAGCTACAACTTTCTGCGTATGCGTTTACTACCAAATGAACGTAGCGGTGCACATGACTGGAAGTTGATCTGTCGCACTATCCTTATCTTCAGGACAGATGTTTTTTATTTTATTCGGCTTATAATTCCTTACTAAATGTAGTATTTCATCTCGATATACTCCGTCTTTGATATGATTTAAATCAAATTCCTCATCATTATAAATATCATAAATACACATCAAATAGTTTTCTTTTTGCAATTTTCTAATTTCAACTATGCGTAATGTACGCTTTACGCATGCGTGCGTTGAAAGAAATATTCAATAATGTATAAACAAATAAATATTAAGCTTTTTTTTGTAAACTTTGATACCCCTTAGATCATAGTTGTTCTTTATTTCATAAATTACGGTTTCATATTTTTAATTTTATAATTTCTGCATGCCATCTTACCAGATTTAAACTGATGATCTATAATCTGGAATCGCTGAATTCCCGACGAGTCCAGATTAAAGACTTTTGACTGTATCAGAATTCTAGTAATTCAGTATTTTGGTTAAATAATTAAAACTATTATAAAATTAAACTGCAATAATTAAAAAATGAAGATTTATGTTTTCATGTTTCTTTAACAAGTTATACAATGTATTTACTGGTAATATTTCTGCATGGGAATGATGAACAAATTTGGTTAATAAACTTGTATAAGGATAAATTAGTTTTTGTTTTGTCATTGATAGACAAATATTTTTTCCTGTATAAACATAAACTGTGAACTCCAAATATTTTTTATTATAATAAAATTGTTAGGCTCTAAATAATCATAACTGTTAATATATAATAGTTATTAGTGTAAAAGATAAGATTTTGATACTTTTTTCTCTTCTTACAGGTCAAAAGTTAAAGGTTTGTTGGCACATATCTTAAGTTCTGCATCTCATGAAGATGCCGTTCCTTTATTGCATGCAGCAACATTTTCAAGCAATAAATACTTTCCTGTGCATTTGACAAAAGTCCGTTTCATGTATGGTGATGAAGGAGGTGTTGCAGCTGTCCCACCTGGCATTGACGAGTAAGAATGTTTTTCTTTATGGATTTTACTGTGAAATAATATTCTTTTATAGTATATATGTTTTATTTAGTTGTATTAAAAGTTGCAAAGATGAAAACTGAAGTTGCAGAATATTTTTTAATAATAAATTTGGTACATTACAAAGTCCGTAATCTGGACTCGGCGGCACTTCGGCGATTCCGGATTAGGTTTTTTTCCGGATTATAGATCATCAATTTAAATCTGGTAAGATGGCATGCAGAAATAATACAATTAAAAATATGAAACCATAATTTATGAAAAAAGAGCAACCATGATCTAAAGGGTACCAAAATTTACAAAAAAAAAAAAGCTTAATATTTATTTGTTTACTTTAGTAAACATTTCTATCAATGTAAGTTGTTTAAGTTGCTTCGTTTTTTGTGCTAATACTTTCTCTTTAATTCTATAAACAGACATAATTTCTTGTTCAGTTCCACTGTTCAAGTCCTGTAATTGCTGTGTCGAGAATACTGACTAACTTGTCAATCAAAATTTTTTCGTTTTCAATAACGTTCTCTGTTACTTTCTTCACTATCGGAAGCGTTCATGAGTAAATGCTTTACTGGCATTACGCGCATGGATAAGTTTGCGGCTTTGAGGTCTGGATTATAGATTATTCCAGATAATGGACGTCCGGATTAGAGACTTTGTACTGTATTAGATAATAGTAAAATAAAATTAACAAACTAGCTTAATTAACTGTGAAAAGTAGATTATTAACTTAATTAACACAATTAACTATTAAATCAAAGTAGTTTAAAATAGTATTATAACTTTTAAAAAAATCTGATGTTGACTTGCTTCTACGGCCTATTAAATTATACAACATGGATAATACGGATGCATTATCTTTCTTTAAAACTTTAAATGAAGTATGAGTCGAATAGTTGTCTACAGTGAGGACAATTTTTTTTGTCATCAGGTAAACCAACCAAATTCAAATGTTGCCAAACTTTGCTTTGTCTCTCTTTGGAATCTTTGACACCAGTTGGAGCCTTTTCTGTAGAGGTTGCCAAGGTATTTTACGGTACATATTGCCAGAAGAGCACATTTTCATCAACATTGTAAATTAGTTCTGGAGATAACTTTTCATTATTATTAAGTTCAATGATTGCAATATCTGCAAATATTTCAGCAGCTTTTTATGAGCTGAAGCTTTTTCACCATGTAATTTTTAATTGCCGTACACCATGTGCCATGTTTTTAAATGTGGTTAACCAAACTGTCGAATATGTGAACTCCGTTTTGAAGTTTATTTCTTCATGAAATATTTTGGTTTGAGCCATTAGCACTGGACCCATCAATAGCACACCTTTGCTGTGTTACTTGCTTTGACCCATTCAATCATCACTTTGTCATGATTGTCAATTTTAGCATAATGAATTATTTCCCATTATTCATGCAAATGGGGTGTCAGAATTGACAAAAATCTTCAGAATGTTCCTTTTTCTGTTGTCTTATATCACATACAGTTGACTTTCTAGTGACACAATCCTTGCATAATTTTGAGGCGGATTTACCTTTATGCATTTTTTGCAGCAATTCCATTTTTTGTTTAATTGACATCAAAACATGCTTTCGCTTTGTAGGTCCTGTTGCAGCTTCAGAATTAGAATATCTTTTTGACATAATTGAAATTTCAAACTTTAGTTTTCATAAATTTGCTGTAAATAATAACAGCCTGCAAAAAATAATAAGCTGGATCAAATCAGAAAGTTAAAGAACATCGCAATCTGATATATTATTAGTGAAATCTTAGTGAAATTCCTTGGAATCAGTAAAGTAATTTTTACCCTAGCTTAATAGCATCTGCTATACATTATTGGCTAAGTATCATGAGATTGGCAATGAAAGACAAGTTGTTCTGTTAAATTTTGCCTTGCTTCTGTAACACACTGAAACAGTTAAGCCTGAATAGTATTAGTTTAGATAATTATACTTGTGTCTCTTTCTTGCACAGCAGTCAGTTTCGCCAACTGTAATACTGGCTTGCTGGCTGTCTTTACAGAACAGGTACGGGTAACAGAAGTGAACAGAACACCAGAATTTCACCATTGTTTTCATACAAATATAGTCCTGCCACACTAACTGTGCAGTTCTGCCCCAATTTTGGGAGATAACAACAACATAGAGGTTGGTCCAAGGATCTCCCACTCTCTTTCCCTACCACCGACCTGTTTAGAGGACTTTTGCTCGTTATGTATTTTGAATGCCTATTCACTGCACCGGTAGTATTTTGAGTGCCTATTCACTGCACCGGTACCATACGCTGACAAATATCTATGCCTTCTTCAAGATTCGAACCAGGGCCAATTTGTATTGTCATTGCCATTTCTAACCACTATATTGGCCGAGAGTGAGGTAGTAAAATTATTTTTATGGCCTTAGTTCATTAGACCATAATGTAAATTTATTATTAACGAAATTTATTTTGCTAAGAATTCCTAACTTTGAATGAAGTAATCTAAGATTTCTTTTTTTTTTTTTTTTTTTTTTTTTTTTATAATCTAGAAAAAAGATTGCAACATGGAAGTAAAATTAATAGTACTGAAGAGTGACTTCTTTGAAATATATAATACAGTAACATTATAACACATTTTCATGTTGTTCTTTTAATATGCCAAACACTTCTTTTAATCTCTCAAACTTCCTAGAAAAATTCTTTAACCCTTAGAAATAGCATACAGCACTTAATTTCTCATCTTGGTTTTCAATTGAAGTTATTTAACAAAGTGGGAGAGAAAATGCCAGTGAATACTTTTACTGACATAGTTCTATATAGTAATTTTAGCAAGCATGAATAATATTTTTAAATTTCTTTTTCAGCTTAAGTGAAGCATTTTCTCATTGTCATGGCACTTTAGAATTGTTGAAAGAACTGCAGAATAAAAGTTTAAACAGTTCATACTTCTTATTTATTTTGCAAGTAAGTTATTTGTTTCTTATTAGATAAAGTATGCAGCAGTTTAAAAGCTTGAAACATAAAATATGTCTTTTTTAATGAAAAATATTTGACAAATCTTGTTACCATTTCCTTTTTTGTGATATCAGCAAATTGTTTTGTCTTCGCAAAATAAGATTAATAATTAAATTAATTATTATATGTAAATGTGACTATTTATTTCATTATTCACTGTGTAATAATTCTTTACACTAGTAATTGTTTCATAATTTTTTGTAAATAATAACTTTAAAAGTTAAAAAATTCCATTATAATGACATATTAATTTTGTAAAGATTCACTGATATTTTCATTTATGTGCAGTTCATTTAGAGAGGATGAAAATTTGGTTCATCTTTCGATTATGGTAACTTGGCGATTTTTTGGCGACCAACTCTGCTACAGCAACCCTCTATTTTTTTTTTCGCCGCCATTTTGTCTTCACGAAGTAAAGACATATTTCTTTTCTTTTTATTTACTCAACACTTTTTTCCAACAATCTACTAGCCTTACACTTATGCTAGAAAATTTTATGTAACAAAACTGCTAATCATGACAAATGTTACTGCAAATTGGGAAAAAGTGCACAATCGCAATCTCCTAGCGCATTTTTCAGAATAGCACATACCTAAACCATTTACACGTCGACTTATTTTTACTTAAAAGACCATCCCAGAATTGCACAAAAATGGCATTGCACACACTCTTCACTTTATCCATGTACACTGCTATTTTCTCATAAATTATAAAAATTTGCACGAAAATGCAGGAAAATTTTCTTAATCTTTAAACTCGGTAAAAAGCACATATATGAAATTACCTGATCGCGAAAAAGTATATCCCTTTCCAAGAATGAAACATTTCCAAGTATAAATAAATAAAATATCCAAACTTGTACGTCTAAATTATCTATATATTATAAACGTCAGCAACGAATTTATATGCAAACATTAAAAATAGTTACAAATACTTAGTGTCAAATATTTAAATTATTTCCATACACGTTTACTTCAACTGAAACTATACCAAATTCCTACAAACATAAATTCACAAAATAACTATCATTTAATTAAAAAATATCACTAAACCATGTACACGTCGACTTATTTTTGCTTAAAAAAAAATCCCAGAATTGCACAAAAATGGCATTGCGCACACTCTTCACTATAATCCATGTACACTGCTTTTTTTCTCAAAATTAGAAAATTTCACGAAAATGCATGAAAATACTCAACGTATCCTACTGAAACGTATTCCAAAATATACAAACATATAACTCAACAAATCACGATCGTTAAATTAAAATATAATTAAATTAAAAAACACTACTTAAAATATAAAAAGCACATACATTAATTAATAAAATTAGATTACATCCTAATTACTTTAAACTAAATCATTGCTAATAACAATTTTCCAATAATACCATTTTTAATTTATTTACTCCTTACATTTAGAACAATGCATAAAAATAATGTCCTCAATGATTAAAAATACTCACTTACCTAATCTTCTTCAGAATCTTCATTACGTGGCCACGCACACTTCCCTACAGAAAGAGTTCCAATTGGCTGCAGTACTACTGCTATTTCTAAATCCGAAATCCAGTAGTCAACTTATTATTAATTATTATGTATTAAAAATTTAGAATTCACTTTACATAGCGCCATGCAATCCGAAAATTAATCAACACTATTTCACACAACACACAATGCGGCTTAATACAAAATAATTTTTCCAAATTTACCCCCTTTTCCGATTAAAGAACTGTAATTCGTCCATTAATGTCACATGACATATCTCATGATCTCTCATTTCCCTCACACAAAATAATGCATAATCGGAACTGAGTGCTTCTCACATTATTACCTAGGTAGTAACCTTTATCCTAGTTTAAAGTCCTAGGTAGTAACCTTTATCGCCTCAAAAATGTCGCCAAACTACCTGTTACCATATTCCAAAGATCAGCCGAAAATTTTTCTCATTAAAAAATTTATACTAAATTTTGAGCTTTCTAAAAATTTGCTGTCATTTTCACTTCCAGGAAAATAATCTTGCTACTTAACATCTTACAAATCTGTTTCTAAAAGCTAATAATAATTTCAATAACAAAACGTTTTTTATTTTCAAGGCAAAAATGGGAAAATGATGTAAAAAAAAAGACTGTTAATTACATGATATACAGTTTTCTTATGAATTATGAGAGGGTTAAAAGCCACAACCAGCATGCAGATCTGAATCTTCGTATAATTTTCTCTTCGTATAAACTTAACTATTGGTAACATGTTGTTCACTAGAAACGTAATGATAATGTAAACATTAACACATGTTATAAGCTACATGTATTATATTCTAAACATTGAAGTTAAGTAGAGAAAGAAAAAAAATATTAAGAGAGAAAATCACCAAGGGGGGAAAAAAGAATAAATTTAAAAAAAAGGTCCTGCTGTCTCAATCACACCAGCAGAAAATTAGATTATTTTTGTGCTCATAAGTTCGAATTCATCAATATTTTTTATTATTCCTTTTTTAATGATTTTATTATTTTTATAGATAAAAGCATAATTTGTTAGTACAGATGTGCATTTTAGAGATATGTATATACTGGGAAAGATCAGAAATAAATCTTATGGTTTATTGTGTAAAATTATTAACAAATTTTGAAGTAATTTTATTCTCATTGTAATATAAAAATAATGCAATTGAATTATGTATTTCAGTATTGAGAATTAAAAACTTTAATTTTTAGGAATTTTGTAATTTAATCTCGAAAATGAAAGAAGGTGCAAAAGATGAAAATTTTGGAAAGGAACGATTACTGTGTGTCATTCTGCTGAAACAGTTTTCTGAATGGAACGAAGAAATAAATGAAGCTATTTTATCAAATACATCTGGAGCCATTGACTTAGTTGTTGTAAGTTTTATAGTCATTTGCAGTTATTCATTCTTTTCAGAGAAATTTAGCTATGGAAATGCATTTTCTATGAAATGAATTATGAAATTTTTGGTAGCTAAAATGCCAAGAACTTATCTGTCTTGGCACATTTTATTTCCTGTAATATAAATGAAAATAGCCATTGAAGCAAATAATATATGGTGTATTTAAATTCAAAATATGATTTAAAAACTTGATATCTGCTAGTTTTTTAGTGTCTGTGGATACATCAAAAAAATTCCACCTGTGACTCATTCATACAAGCATTTTGCAAGTCTAGAAGCTGTTCCAGATTTTTCAACAAACCTAAGACTCGTATATCTTTTTCTAGTTAGTATAATTTCTTTTGGGACTTTAAGTGAGAGTTAGGATGATCTTTTTTTTAAAAAAAATTCAATGTCATATTTGATCTCCAAACTGGTATCCATATATAAACAATGAAATGCATATGGGGATTAATAAAATAGAAGAATATGTGGCAATGTTGTACAACATGTTATTTCTTTTATTCTTACTTATCAGAGTTCATATGGAGACAGAGACAAGACATCACACTGGAAATGAAAAAACAAATTTCATCACTAAATGGCAGCAACAGTTTGCAGGGGTGATTGTGGTCTGGATATAGCTAGAATTCTGTACTGTATGCTGGCTGAAATCCAGAATTGTAAAATGTAGACCCGGTATCTTTCGTAAATTTTGTCTTAAAATAAATTTGTCTTTCAGAAACTACATAAATTAAAAATTTTAAACACCATAAGGTATTTTCTAACACACACACACACACACACACACACACACCAGGGTTCGTAGCGGTCCTTATAAGTGCTTATAAGTCCTTATATTTGAAAATAAAATATAAAGGCCCTTATAGGTGCTTACTTTTTCTTTAAAGGCCCTTATTTTTTGTTTTTAGTGCTTATTTTTGGCTTGTAGTGCTTTTTTTTAAAAATAAATATGCTATTTTTCCCCGTACCAAAGCCGAAACTAAATAAACACTTTTCTTCCTAATAGGAATGTCAATGGTGAGTCATATCATACTCCCGGAAATAGCTTTTCCCCTTTCTCTGCATCAACTAACTTTGGTGTGCACGAAGTACAGACAGGTGCCCGTTGTTCTATTGGTCAAAGAATTGCGAAAGCATAGAAAATTCTGCTACATTTCGCATTCTTTTCCTCCCACCCAAATACTACACACGTTTGAATTCTATCAAGATCTTAAAAATTTGCGGTCAGTTCATATTCGTGTTTATTATGATTGTTATGCTTATATATGAGCATATGTATGATGTTTATAATAGCATAGTTGTAACTGCTAAGTAGAGTAAACTTCAAATGGTTGTTTTAACACAGATTAGCTTTCTAAGGATAATTCGGAATGGCTTAAATAAGGGAAAGTAATCGAATTCTGGATTGAATAGGACTAAAAGTTCTGCCGTCTACCAGCCTAAGCGAAGAATGATTCTATTCCGGAAATTTAATGCCGTCTGTTGAAAATTAGAATGAAAAACACCCCAGTTATTTAGTTCTTTATTCTCCCAATAATGGCAGTTGTTGATTCCGATTGCATAATATCACGTAGGGAAGAATTACGGTGCACGTATTGCGCAATAACGTTTGCAATATTTTACAGAGATAATTAATTTAATGTTCAGTCCGAGATTTGTTTATGAAAACTTAAAAGAGTTTTACTGTGCTTGCTAAGCAGAATATTTTTTAGTTCCGTTGGCTTATTATTATATGATGCACATATTGAAATGTCAAAAGCATTTATTTAGCGGAAAATCTAAAAGCGCTAGAGCCCCCCTGCTCCTTCAAGTTACGCTCGTCTGTCCGAATATTCGCCATTTCCAAGTATGCGGGTTAGTTAAGCTTTTACTGTTAAAGATGACTGCATGAGCAAATTTCTGTATTCTGATTTCGGAAATGTCCCTCTTTTTTACTTAAATTACTTTGCTTGCAATATCTTTTAAGAGAAAACTGATATACAATGAAAATTTAGAAAATGTTCAGAATTTAGATTAAATTTTTAAATATCAATATAAGGGAAAATAAATTGTATTTATTTTAGGTTCCAAGCAATACAATAAATATGCCTTATTTTATTATTTTCTCTATTTTGAACTGAATTTTCATCATTTAAATCTGTAATATAGTTTAGTTCTTCATAGTTTTTTTTCTCTCATTGTAAACTAGTTCTGTAAATTGAACTATTATTTAAAATTAAAAACAAAAAAGTAATTATTTTCCATGGTTGAGGTAATCCTTATTCTGTCTTAATAAGTACTTCATTTCTCACATTTTAAATTACATATCTAATTTTTAAGGTTATGCAGTTGTGTATGATGTAATTAGACAGGTGCTTATTTTTTTCCTTAAAATGTGCTTGAAAAGTGCTTATAGGTGCTTATTTTTTAAACTAAAATGTGGCTATGAACCCTGCACACACACACCCAAAAAAAAAAAAAAAAAAAAAAAAAAAAAAAAAACTAATGACTACAAGTGGCTCTTGAACTAAAAGCTGGTGGGTGATAATTTGTCACCACCAGGATTTGGCAGCTGAATTCCCTAATCCCTAGTCGCCCTTAAAAAAGAGGGAATGTATAAGGTATTTTTTCCTCCCTCCTTTCTGCTTGCCTTTGTAATATAACAGTAGCACACTCAGCATATATTTGAGAGGTTCAAGTTAGAGTCTTGGCAAGGGCATTGCTGATTTTTCACATCTTATGCTTCAAAATAACATAATGACTCTATAAGGTCTTCATTCCAGTTCATTTTATTGTGTTCACAATTTAGCTGTTCTTCCTTACAAGTAGAAATGAAAGGTATGTGAAGTATATTATCTAGCCTAGAGTCCTCTGTCATAAATCCTCACTCACGTGACACGAGCTCGTATGAAATCCTCTTAAAAGCAGTAGTTACTGCAAAATTTTTTATTAGGATTTTTTTGAAATAAAAGTCTTGCTCCTTCTTTGTGCCAGCAAGGGCAAGGCACACTCTTCACTTCTCCTACTTTAAAATAAAATAAAATAAAACCTCTACAACATTCTAAACTGAAGCACTCATGCTGAGAGAAGGTGGAAAACAGAGATACATTCCCTGCATCAGCAAAACTGATTAAATTTCTTTTCCTTGTTTCTATGGATTCAGTATTAAAAATGAATTTAATTATATGGGTTATATTATAACAGACTGTAGAATATCTTTGAACATTGATAGGCTAGATGTTAGCAGACTATGAAATATTATTTAGTCTTATTAAAGGAAAATACATATGAAACTCTAGGAGAAAATCCCTCTGAAAAGCCTTTTGGCAATATTAAATTAGTTACTTATTGGTATGTATTCTTCAGTTGTAATCCAATACTCTAGGGATTAAGTGAAAAGCCATTGTTTACATTAAAATGTCTTGCTGACATACAACAGTTTTCAGGGGGGGGGAGTAAATGCACGAATTTCCAGAACTTGAAAAGCTCCTAAAAACAAACCAAGCTATTCTTGTTTAAAATGTTGAGAAACAAAAGGGTAAGTGACTTCTTTGTGAAATGATATAGTGAAATATAAATTAATTTTTTATAAATTTATAAAATTGTACTTTTTGCCTCCATTGAAATTGGAGATGTATGTGTATTGCATTAATATTCTGAATTATTTGCAATTATATTGGATTTTTATATTCCATGGTAGTTTTCAGGATTTTTGAAATGAAGTCAATCACCATAAATGAAGTCACATCATTCATGGTGTATATTCATGGGCACCAAGCAAGTACAAAAAAATTCAGTAACTTCTATGATTAATACAAAAATTCAGTAATTTTAATACAAAAGGCTTTGTTTCCATAATGTTACAGCTTAGAGATTGTTTATATATGGGTTAGAGTGAATGCTTAGAGATTTGTTTATGTATAGAAGAAGGGTAGAAATGATGAAACTAGCTATTTAATGCTCTTTTGTTGCAGTTTATGATTTTTTAGTACTGGCTTCTACTTATTTGGTGTTTTTGTACTTGCAAGCTGAACATGTTCTTCATTATATGCTAGATTTCTTAAATATCTTGTTTCTTTAAAAGGTTGCATTAGTTCCCAAATCATTGTCACTGAGTATGCATTCTTATATTGAGGCGACAGTAGTAAGTTCTTAAATCAAACTAGTAAACATGTCAATTTGAAAATAAAGTTTCCAGTATTTTTATTTATTATTCTATCTTGAAATTTGCTGTCAGAAATCTCCCAAGAATCAGATGTACTATGTATTTGCATACCCCCTTGGGGGAAAAAAGAAATTAATTGTAATTGAAAAATTATTTACTGATGTTTGGCTCACCATAATGTGCAGTGTTGATCAGTGTTATGCTGTTATTAATAAATAATTTTTCTGTTGGCTGATATCATTTTGTATGTGCTTTCTGATTATCCTTATCCTCACAAATTTCTGATTATCCTTATCTTCACAAAAAGTTTCAAATTCATGAGTTGGTGAATTGGCAAAAAGCATTTGTTTGGCAAGCTTATAGTTATTGCTTTGTTCAAAAATAGTAATAAACGAAGCATTTTATAAGAAACCAGAAAATTTTAAAAAATCTATAGTTCTGATATTTAAATTTTTTACAGCTTGTGTGTATCTTCTAGCTAAATGTGAAGTTGTATAAGTTCACATGTACTCAAATATGTGTGGTATGTGCGTCCATGAGTTGGCTATTGTTGCATATGTATTGTAAAATACCTCTAAAATACAGCAATTCAATTGAATGCTGAAACGAGAGGGGCAGATAATCAAAGTACCTTCTAATGCATAATTTAGAGAACAAAATTATTATTTTCTCAGAACTTTGCTTATTTTTATTTGACTTAGGGCACACTAATTACAATGTTTTTCTTTAATGAGAAATTGCTCACCCTTTAATGTATATGTAATGCATAAAAAATATAGTATTTTTGCAAAAGAATGCATTTGAATCTAACAAGTATTTTTAAGCATTTAAATTCAAGAATTGGCATTAATTTTAGAGAATCAGATATACTTTATCCTTTGTCTAATAGTAAATACATAGGCAAAATATTTTTTTAGTTTCTTTGATTGATATAAATCTTCTCTAATCCAAATATACATAATGCATTAAAATTCCATCTTCTGTTAGAATTTTTCTTCTTCTTTAAAAATTATTTATGTCTTAAGTCACTTTCCTTCCTAAGGAAAGTTTAATTTACCTTACATCTTATCTGAAAGGAAATAAATGGCAAATCCCCTGGCTTGAGACTTTTGTACCAACTAATTTTACCAAAACAGTTTTAATGTATTTTTTTCAATTTCTTGTGTGAAGTAAAGGAAGTTTTGTAATTGCGAAAAATTTTGTGTATTATATTTCAACAAAAATATCCATTTTGATTGCTCTCAAATCCATTTGAATGATTTTTTTACATTTCATTTGTATGTACAAACAGAATAAAAGACTTTTTTTTTTCCCCTCCAAAATGAATTTAAAATGGATTCAAAAGGTTTTTTTTTTTTGTGATGTCTGCATGTGCATGTACATGTGTACATACAACTGTGTGTATCTCGCATAACTCAAAAATGAGTAGCCATAAAATGTTGAAATTTTCTATATCGTACTAGTGTAACATCTAGTTGTACACCTCCCTTTTTGTTTGCAGTTCGGCCTCACCAAACACACACACACACACATTATATATATATATATATTCCCACCATGTTACCTGGCTCAGTGAGCTCAGTATTTTTATTCTTAAATGTTGATGTTTAAAAATTAAATGTTTTTTGTTTTAAAATTGTTTGAATTATGTTGTTTGTATCTTTTGGTTAAGATTTTTATGCCTTTGGTTAATCTGCATGGAGTAGCTGTGGAATTATCGAAAAAGTTTAATTGTCATTTGTTTACATTTGAAACTAGTAGTAGAATAGTGAATTAAGTTAGTTGCTGCACGAATTTCAGTGTCTTTTTGCCCAGTGAGACCAAAAGTTAACTTTCAGTTTTGTAAACTGAAAGTTTTGGCTTCCTGTCTGTTGGTTGAATTGCTTGTTTGGCGTTAAAGCTCTAATTTTAATTATATATAAAAAAAAATTAACTTTTTTTAATTGTATTTGGTGTTAGGTTTTTCCGCATTTTACAATTTTTAAAGAAGGTGTTTTGAGTTTTTATGTAGTTTTGCCTTGCCACAAAGTAAGAACTGCCTTGATTGATTGAGAAATATAGCTCTAACGAAATTCAAGGAAATAAGTTTAAATCAAGTGCAGCAGAAATTTGTGTACTCTAGTAGGCTGTGCAAAGAAGTTATGTGCTGACTACATCAGATTAATACACTGGTTATCATAAATTAAGGAAAAATCATAAAAGGCACAATTACTGAAAAAGTTACATGTAGAATTTAATGAAACTTACCCACAATATACAACATGTAGTAAGGTATCAAATAACATAAAAAGAAATTACCAGACAAATATGGTAGTATAGAAATTAGCACATGTATAAAATGAACAAATCGAAGGTGTCAGTTTGCTGTAGAAAGTGTACCTTCAATATGGAATACGCTCGCTTCTAGAAGCAATACAGCACATACAGTGATGTGTGATGCTTTCAATTATGTGGTCTATCAGTTCTATAGGAAATGAGAGTCATTGCTCTTGCAAAGCAATTGCAAGTGCAACAAGGGTTTGAGGGGGCGGATTGAGAGCAGCTAGACGTCTCCCTAAAGCATCCCAAACATGCTCGATAGGATTCAAGTCCGGGGATCAAGCTGGCCACTCCATGTGCATAATTGTTTCCTGTTGAAGATAATCATCTACGATGCGAGCCCTGTGTGATCTTGCCTAGTCGTCCTGTAACAGGAAAGCATTACCTATTACCCCGACATATGGGCACACATAAACATCAAGGATGTCATCTCTATAAATCTGAGCATTCACAGTTCCCCTTGGAAAGACATGGAGGTCTGTGCGTCCACCCAAAGAGATGCCACCCCAGACACAGACACTGCCCCTTCCGTATGCATCTCTTTCACGAATGTTTGACAGATGATAACGGGTTCTAGATTCTCTCCATATCAAATAATGCCTACTATCGCTTTCTAGGCTAAACCTGCACTCATCTGCACTCCATTGATCAGGCGTCCAGTGGACATGTTGTCGTGCTCACTGAAAACGGTCCCTCCAATGGCGTGACGTGAGTGGCACTCAAATGGCTGGTCGTCTCGCATACAGACCACCTTCGTGAAGCCTTCTACACACAGTTGACGTTGACACCAACCTTCCAGTGGTTGCAGCAAGGGAGCATCTAAGAAGAGTCGGAGTAGCGGTTCTATTCCTGTGTGCACATAATGTCAAATATCGGTCATCGGCGCTCGTCGTAGCAGTTGGCCATCCTTGGCTGAACCTCCTAGATGCCGAATCTGTGGTTTGAAATTGCTTACAAAGTCTATGAACCACAGAAGGACTCACATTTAGACATCTGGCCACTTCTGTTTGACTTTGTCCAGCCTCTAGTCTCCCAATGGCTCTCCATCACAGTTCTGCAGGCAAATGATGCTTGGAGGTCATTGTTACGATTTTGCTATCTCAGATTTCTGATGTCACTGTCACGGTAAAATATTTGGGCTTGCTCTCAAACATGGACATTTATGCTCCTCGCAGATGAGGTATTCTGAAAGCAGCACCACTAATTTGCATATCGCAGTTTTACTCAGCTACTCTTACTTAACAACATATTCAAATTTTACATGGTTTGGCTTATTTTTTAGGGAGTTATCGCTATTTTTGTGATTTTTCTTTAATTTATGATAACCAGTGTAAATGTATCATTTTAAACAATTATTTTTTAACTCAATTTCATAACAAATTTCAATTTTTGAAATGCTTAATTATTTGTAATTAATAAATCATCATAAATCTTTTTTCATATCATTATAGATCTTTTTCCATTATTTTTAGACATTTTTAGGTGACTTTTATCATTATTTTTTAGCTCTCAGTGGAATGCATCATATTTTTAAAAGTGTTTGAATGCAGTTTCAGATCTTTCATTGTTTTTACTTATATAGAAAAATTTCATTTTTTAGCTCTCAGTGGAATTCATCGTATTTTTAAAAGTGTTTGAATGCAGTTTCAGATCTTTCATTGTTTTTATTTATATAGAAAAATTTCATTAGAAAATGACTAGCAGAAATTATTGATTATGAACTCTTATTTTAATAATTGTTGTATTTTTATTTAATACTGTATCCATATTATTGTTCCAGGCTCTTTTGGATGACGCTTGTGATGAAACCTCTTTCCCCAAAGAGAGTATTGTGATAGCTCTGATAATTTTAAATGCAGTGATTGAAAACATAAATCAGGTAATTTTTAGTATTAATATTTCATTGAATATTAAAAAAACACTAATGATAATATGTATCTGATGTTTAATCATATGTTTTAATGAAATTTGTGGTTAGCATTTTTATAAATTTCGTGAAATTAACTCAGAAGCATTTCTAATGCAGATTTTTAGTCTGTTACTGAGCATCATAATCATTTATGTATGAAATGGTCTGTTTCACAATTTCATTATATTTGTGAGAGGCAGATGACTTTTAGTATGTCCTTTTGCTATTTAAATTATTGTTCTTAGATTGCCATTGTAGTGCAAGTTTAGTGCAATAAACCAAACTTTGATTTTTTTAAATTCTGCAAGAAGGTAGATTCATTCGATTATAGATTAGTAAATAAAATCTTGTCACATCTTGTTTACTACAGATTGTGTATAAATGTATTTTTATCTTTTATATGATCACTTGCGTTGTTTCCCATAATGAGCACGGCATGTGTTTTGGTTGATTCAGCAAAATTAACAAAAATTTTCAATTTATGTGAATTTATCTTATTACTTTTTATGTTTTGTTTGAGATCTAGAAATAATACAGTCTCATATCTAGAGATAATGCAGTTTAGAAGCAGTTTCTTAAAACTACCCTAGAAGCATGTGCTGTGTGGCATGCAGTCCCTTCCTGTTGGCAAAATGCTTCAGCATGGATTGTCAGGTTCAGGAGTAAAAAAGTTTTCTAACAAGTAGACATAATGGGGTTCCATAACAGTGGCAGCCATGGAGGTAAAGAAAGGAAGGAGTGGCCAAACCGGCATTAGAAGTGAAGGACTGCTCCGAAGCTTCGGTCACCAGATGGGGTTGTTTTTTTGTTTACATTCAGAGGCTCGCTTGACAGCGCTCTGATAGTATTTCAACACACGACAGTTCCATACAAATAAAAAAATGGGTCACTTCCGCAAAAAAGAAACATTCCTAATATGATGGATAATATACATTTGTATAGTTTAGCGACATTTACGCAAAAATCACATCTTGGCTATTTTGCGATAAATTACAACAGCGATTTTGATTATGAATTTGTTTTATAAAATTCTAAGCTGTTGAAGTACAAAAATATAGATTTTAGCAAAAAAGTTATGCTTAAAGAATGAAAAATACCTCACCATACCTTTAAAATTGTATACATTTTTCGCTAGTTTTAATACAGTATTCTCTACTTTTATTTTATGTTCCAAACGGCAAAATGTTTTAAATAAAAATAATTTTTTTGACATCCACATATTATTGTAACATGTACTTTTTAAAATTAGTATAAATTACTTTACTCGAAAAATATAGTGAATGCACAGAAATTAAAGATTTCCACATGTCAGAAATGAAAAATATGAAATATGTATGGGTATTTATGCATGTGCTTCCAAAAAGCATGTATCTGCCTTTAACAAAATACGTAAATATTTATTAAATTATTTATAACTGTATTTGAAATGAAGGATTTATTCTTTCGTAAATAACTATGAGAGTGTTACTGTGAAGAAATCTAATTATTAAATGTATCTAATTTATAATGATTATAAATATTATCTAAATGTATAATAACCTTAACATTGAATTGTAAACATAAATTGACACCGTGTTGACAAATACGTTATAAAACTATTTAAGCAAGAATTGTTTGTACTGGAAAGCAATCTATTAAAAGGTATTGTAAAGCAATTTCTATGAGATGTGTACTTAAGAAAGTAATCAAGAAGAGTTTTGGAATATGTATTGTTGAAGTTAAGGGTAAAAAAATCTAATAAGTATAACTAAAAGAATTATTCCCTTTACATTTTATAATAAGTCAGTTACAAGTTTTAAATAATATTTAAAAAATAATCCCTTTCAGAAATATTAAGAGAAAGTTAAGTACTATTTAAAGTATTTCTCTGTTAAATTAAAAGGTGCTCTAATTTGAAATGGAATGAATAGAACATTAATTATACATTGACTTATAGTTTTCGATTTAAAAGATGCCTTAAAAGCTAAAATATCATGTCAAATAGAAAAAAAATAATGCATAATTTTAATAATACAATAAACTTTGATCTTAGTTTTTGTAATCCTTAGCTGAATCAAATCGAATTATCTTAAATTTTTTTTCTGATGTAATTACCGAAAACTTGTAAAAATATTTCAAATTAAACCATTCTGAGCAAACTGTTCTGTGAAAAGTATAGCAGTTAATTTCGTTCAAAATGAAATGTTGTTTAAAAATGTATTCTTTTCATATACTTAGGACTCTGAAGTATTGTAGAAAAAGAAAATATATACATTTATATGCATATTTACGATGTAATTACAAAATATATACATCCGATCGTGTCAAACCCATTGAACTCAATGGTAAATTACCCAATGTTTTGGTCACCAAAGAAGGGATCGCCAGTGCGTCAAAGCAGGGTATGGGGAAACCGGCTTAGGGCCACTCCATCTAACTTCGTACCTCCATGGTGACAGCCATTTCATGCTCATCTTTAAAAATGTTTGGGTTGATAACTCCAAGTGAAGACATTGTGCACCATACGTTCATTCTTGTGCAGTTGTCACTAAGCAATTGTCTTAATTCTGTATAATTCTTAGCTCATTAGTTTTATTTGATAGATATCACAGGAGTAACGGTTACTGTAAATGAAGTACAGCTGTTATAAACTTTTGCAAAATAAGCAGTTTTTCCACAATTTGTTTTCTCTTTCTGAAAATTGTGCCTACTTTTTTGAATAACTTGCCACTTGTATAGCTAACAAAATTAAATATCTTATGCTTTGCTGAATGGTAGCACATGGAAGATTAAAATATATATATATATATTTTGGCCAGTGGGACATATTTCTTTCAAATAAAAAGTTTAAATTTAAAAGACAAATATCTTGCATTTTGCCAAGTGGCAACGTACTGCTTTATAAGTTGTTGAATTTCTTGATCAGAATTACACACATATGGGTAGACGACTATGGTAGTACAAAATTTGGTAGCTCTAGTGCCGCTGTTTTTTCATATTGCAGGGAACATGAATACATACAGATTCTTCATTATTTGGTAACAGAGATTTAGATGTTATTATTATTACTATATTTATTATTTTCATTTGTTTCACAATAATACCCAAGATAAAAGTTATAGCATTCATAATTATTTTATTTTGCTGTAAATCCATAAAAGTATTCATTTACTCCAACTGTTAATTATTTCATTATGCTTGGTTAGGAAAGTTGTTCCATTTGACCATGGAAAACAAAAGAAATTAAAAATTAAATTTTAGTGAGAAACTTGTATTATGTTTTCTGAAGTGTTTACTGAATTACATTTTTAGATTCTGCCTGTATTTTAACATAATAAATGAATCTTGAAGATTATTTTCCTTACAGAAAGAATGATTTAAGTAAAAAGATATTTTTAATCTTTAAATGTATATCTTAAAACATAAAAAATCCTTTTCGTAATATTCCATGTAAAATCTGTTATTTCTAGCACTTTAATGTTTTTTTCTCTCTTAACAGCTGACTTCAGCACATTGGGCTCTTCTTAAAAGATGCCTGCCAAACTTACAGAAATTGCAAAAGAGTAATATAGATATTTGCTTGAAACAGATGGTGTCCAGTATTTTAACATTCATTGCTACACATGGTGCTGCATGTGAAAATGATGCCTGTGCTGATGTGATGAAAGAATTCATTGCGAATATGTCTGAACTTTCAAACCAAAGAGCTAAGAATCTTAAAGGAAGTCAAGCTCGAAAAGGGATTAATAAGAAAAGCAACAAAACATGCTCTTCTAGAAAGCACACTTCTGATTCATCAAATATTTCTGAAGGGGCTGGATGTTCCAGGCGGTCTAGTGACAACGTTAAACCTGAACCCCAAAAGAAAAGTGTTAAAGATGTTGATAATATAGTTTCAGGTATATCAAATATGGATTTAGGTTCCTCAGTGAGCAAAAAGGAATCTACTTTTCAAGCAGCTATGAATGATTTGAAACATTCATTAGTCGCAGTTAGAGGACATGCACTTATTTCCCTGGGAAAGTTATTGCAGCAACGAGATGCTGAAACATTACATAACAAAGAAGAACTCTTGAAAATGTTTCAGGTAAAGTAGCCTTTTTCTCATTTTTTTTCATCTATATAAAATATATTAAATTAAAATTTTGAAATGTCTTGCTAAAGTATTGAGCATCGTATTACATACATTTTTGTCCCACAATTTTCCTATGATATATTCAAGTACTGAGATTAAGATAATCTATCATCTTACTTGTAATCTCTTTTCTTATTTTGTTGATTGGTCATATTTTCTTGTTGGTTATATTCTCTTGTACTAATCAATTGCCACTTACTTATAAAGATGCGTAGTCTAAGTAGTATTGCTCCCCCTGAAAAAATACTATTAAATGTGTGAAATTGTTATATGGAAAATTATGTGCTGTCAAAAGTTTGAACTGACCTTGAATATTTCTTGATTTTTGTTTGCTTATTTTGGAAAGCGTATTAATTAGGTTTATCAGAGCAGGAAATGCAAAAAAGTCAGTTATATCCTCACTGGGATTCAAACCATGGATCTTCCAATTCACTAGCTAGATGTGTTACTACTTCCATCATCAGAGTGCTCATGGAAGGGGGGTGATAATTCTTGATATTCTTCCCATCATAATGGATGACTGGATAGAGATTCAAGATGCAGTTAACCCAATCTAAGTAATGATGTTGAATAGCTGAAAATTTGGGGGCATTAAACTTTCAAAACTTTTAACTTTACTAACCTAACTGTCTTGGTGCCAGACAAAACTAACCAAAATAATGAATAAACAAAATTCTCTACTAAAATAATAAACTGAAATCTTTATCCTAAGCTGTATAAGTGGAGGAGGAGGAGCTGTTTGGTTGCTCCATCTCAAATGCATTTAAATAAGCATTTCTTAGAATCAATTAATTTAATCAATGCACATTCTCACACTAAATTAATATTACCTTTAAAAAATAAGAAGGAATAAATCTTCCCTGGTGCTTGGGTAAAATTAGAATACAAATCTCTCGCACAAAACATTACTTCAATTGACTAACTACATAGTCAATCTGTTGGTATGCAAATAGTGATGGACTATTACCAATAGCACGATAACATTATGAACTGGAAACCCTGCAAGAGAATTAGTTGTGTAAATCATTCTTTACTCTTACTTTTCTCGCTTCTACAGGAAAGGACAGAGATATGACACTCTCTATTATATAACTCCCTTTTTTTAATATGTATTTGGAATACTAACAAATCTTAATCTATTTTCATGTAGTAATAAAGTATGTGTTTCACTTTCCGTCTACAACCTTTTTTGGATTACAAGTTAATTAGCTATCAGCTCGCTTGATGTATACAAGGTAAGAAGAAATAATTCACACTCTACTTTTATTAATTTGTTGGCTATAAGAATGTTTTACAACAAAAGATTATTAGACCAAAAGAAAAATTATAACTAATTAACTAATAGTAAAAATTAAAAAAAAAATGTAAAGGCTAAGCTGTAGTTTCATATCAAAACTGAAAATAAATATTTCGATGATACAAAAATGTTGCATTCAACTCCAATGCAAATTGCAAAACTGAATTCCAGCAATTACTCAACATGGAAATTCAAAATGCAAATGCTACTAATAAAGGAGGATCTTTATGATGTAATCGAAGATGTTCCTCCAAGCCCTATTACAGAACAATGGAGTAAACGGGATCGGCAGTGTCACACAATGATAAATCTATTTATCGATGACAGCCAAATAATTCACGTTGAACATGAAACTACTGCTAAAGCCACCTGGGAAAAACTCAGGCAGGTACATGAAAGATCTAAGCTTTGAAGTAAACTATTTCTTTTGCAAAAGCTTTACAGTCTGAAGCTTGAGGAAGACGGAAATATATGCAAACATATATAAATACATTACTGGAGTTAGTCGATAAACTCAAATTAATAGGTGAGAACATAAAAGACAAATACGTTTCAGCACTTTTGCTTTATTCAATGCCTAGTTCTTACGATACGCTCATTACAACTCTTGAAGCCAAAGCAGAATTGGAACTGAATCCAGAATTCCTAAAAGAGAAATTAATTGACAAATTTAACAGGAGAGTTGAAAATAATTCATCTGATTCAAAGACATTTAAGGCCTCATTTCAAAACAAGACAAAGAGCGGAAAGTTTTGCTCATATTGTCACAAAAATAACCATTTTAGATCAGAGTGTTATCATAAAAAATCAAAACAAAAAAATAAAACGTGCCAAAATTTGAAGAAAACATACGTGGATTCTAAAATATGCTGAGCAAAGAATGCGTGTAACTTTGTGACGAATCAACAAGAAACAAAAAATAAAACACTGGAAATCGAATCCAGATGCTGTGGTGTTGCTCTGTCTGCTGACAAAATCATACATCAATCATCCGAGAGTTTTATTTTCGATAGCGGAGCAAGTAATCACCTTGTAAATAATAATAAATATTTCAGGGAATGTAAACCCATAAATCCATTAGATATTATAACTGTGAATGGGCACTGTATTAAATTAACGGCGATAGGAACTGTCCATTTTAAAACATTAAATGCTAAAAAAAAATAATTGAAGTTCTCTTATCGGAAGTTTGGTACACTCCTGAATTAGAAATGAATTTAATCTCAGTTAAGAAAATAATGGAAAAAGGACTGTTGGTTCTGTTTGAAGGCAATAAATGTATGATTATTCTAGAATGTCATGCAACTAACAATCTTTACCAAATTAAACCAATTGTCAGAAATAATGAACATCAACTCATGTAGCATTTCAGTGCAAAAATGAGAACTGTGTTCAACTTTGACGCCTTGGTCACAGAAACGATGATGCGATCAACCAACTTGTAAAAAAAGAACCTGCTGAAGAAATTAAACTAGATAATTGTAAACATGATACCAAATGCATTCAGTGCATAAAATGTAAACTAATTTCCTGTATCCCAAAAAATCAAAATTCAAAGCATCTGAACATCTAGAACTCATTCACACTGATGTTTTAGGACCAGTACAAACACCGTCTGTCAGTGGATACCTGTACTTCGTAATTTTTATTTATGTTACAGCAGGTTCACAATGATGAAAAAGAAAAATGAAGTAATTTATTGCTCTTACAAACAATAAATTTGGAAGAAAGGTAAAAACGCTAAGAAGTGATAATGGTGGTGAGAAAACAAGTAAGAAACTTGATGAATATCTTATGAAACATGGTATAAATCACCAGCTTACTGTACCATATTGTCCAGCACAAAATGGAGTCGGTGAACACAAAAATTGGTCTTTGATGGAGATGACAAGATGTCTTTTAGCTGACTCAGGTCAACCTCACAGATACTGGGCAGAAGCAGTGCTGACTGCGAATTATTTACAGAATCATATGCATATGAAACCAAATGTGAAAATGCCATACGAATTATAGAATAACAAGAAACTCAACCTCTCTCATCTGAGGACTTTCGAGTGCAAGGCTTTTGCTTATATCCATAAATCTAAAAGGGGTGAATTCGATGATATCACTATAGAAGGAATACTCGTCGGCTACGACAGCAGAAGTAAAGGCTACAGAATTTTAATTCCTGGAAACAAAATCATAATAAGTCTTTCTGTGTGATTTATTGAAGACACTGAAACTAACAAACCTGTAAGCATCTTTTTAAACCAGGATGAAGAAAATTCTAAGGATGAAAGCTCAGAACAGGAAGAAATAAAAGTTGAAGAACCTGAAAAGGAAGAAATATCAAAATCCGAAGAAGAACCTTTGGAACTTGGAAGATCAAACAGAGTCACAAAAGGTAAAGCTCCTGATCACTATGGGTTCTATGCAAAATATCCAACCTCCCCTGAACCCAAAACCTGGAAGGAAATTCAAAGTTTGGAAGAAAATGGCTAACAGCTGTTGGAGAAGAAATTAATTCATTAGAAGGAAACAACACTTGGGTTTTAGTTGATTTACCAAAAGGAAGAAAACCAATAGGATGTAAATGGTCTTTCAAAACCAAGCTCATTGCAGAAGGAAAAATTTAAAGAAGTCAGATTAGTCGCAAAAGGATTTAGCCAGAAGTTTGGATCTGACTATGATGAAACCTTTGCTCCTGTAGTAAAATACACAACTCTACGAGCTTTCCTATTTGCAGCTTCATATGAAAACATGTCTGTCAGACATATCAATGTCAAAATAGCATTTCTTCATGGAGAACCAGAAGAAGAAATTTATTTGACTCAACCTGAAGGATACTTAAAGGCTGGAAATGAAAATAAAGTTTGCAAGCTGAAGAAATCTATATATGGTTTAAAACAAGCCGCTAGAGCTTGGAACATAAAAATTGGAAAAAACTTTGAAACATGTCATTTGAACAAAGTAAAGCAGACCCATGCTTCTTTTTCAAAACCATCAATGGAAAATTCACGTATATAATATTATATGTAGATGATATGCTTAGAGGAAGTGAAAGAGAAAAAGATGTAATGGAAACAATCCAACAAATTGGAAATCAAAAACCATGGAGAAGTCACCTACTACCTCGGCACAAACATTGAAAGAACTAAAGATGGAACTTTTTCTGTAAACCAAAAGAATAAAATCGAAGAAATAGTTAAAAAACGAAAAACCAACATATACACCAATGGAAACAACTACTGCAAACTAGAAACTGAAGATAATCTTCTAGAAGATAATACAGAATATAGACAAGCAGTATGGGCATTATTATATATTGCAACAATTAGCAGACAAGATATAGCATGTGCTGTCAATCTCCTGAGTAGAAGAAATGAAAAACTTCGGAACATAGATTGGAATGCTGTCAAGAAAGTCATTCAATACTTACATACATCTAAAGACTTAAGTTGGTCTTTAACAAAATTCAAGAACCTATACTAACTGCATATTCAGATGTAGATTGGGCAAGTGACAGAACAGCAAGAAAATCCATCAGTGCATACATATTTAAACTAGGAAATAACTGCATTTCATGGAGCAGCAAACGGCAAAACTGCATTGCACTATCTTCAACTGAAGCAGAGTATATTGCAGCAGCTTAATACAACATAAGAAGCACAAT